AGAACAACTATAGAATAGCCCTGAAGAATGCACCTCTCTGAGTGAACACTTTGTTCACATTTGTCTGTCTTGCCATCTTGTCAATGTTATATCTGTTATATCTCAATATTCAATATGCCTATATCATTATCCCTGATACTAGAAAAGCAACGACACAAAACATGAATCAATCAACAGAAACTCCTACAATAGACTGCAAGTAATTTTTTGAATTTTTGAACTAAAAGAATAATAAAAGCTGATTTCAATCGTACATACCTCAAACTGTTCAGTTGTTCTGACCACACCCAGAGATGCCGTGCAAGACAAAATGACATAGGGACTATTAATCTAGTAATCCATAATACCTACAATATAACTCTCTCTCTCTAGAGAATTTCAGTATTCTACAAGTAGTTCCTCTTTTCTATCAGTTGATTATTTGGAATATTTCCTATTATTTGATTATTTATAACCAATTATCTATAATGTTAGTGTTGATAAACTACCTATAGACCTCCTGTATATTTATTGTCACTATTATAATGCTGTCTATTGTCAGGCAGTTGTATAGGTATGGCGTGGTAATGGTATACAGGTATGTAATATGCATACATAGATAATTAATCAATCTATTATGCCGCTGCCACCATTGTAAGGTAACCCTAGACGATACCTCTGGGGAATTCACTGAACACCAGGGTCTCTAGTCTAGTCTGAAGTATGACCTTAAAAACTGGATATATGGGGTTTTAGCATCCTTGGTCCAAGAGTATTTCAATTCATTCCATGGGCTGGGACAGTGAATGCATGATCTTGAAGGATGGGTTTTAGTTTCAATAGTAATTCAGTAGTTATTCGATCTTTGTAGATCCCTTCTGTATTAGTGTTGTCGCGATTAATCGATACATCGTGGTATACATCGCCAAAGCTGATTCTGGCGATGCATCGATGTCTGAAACAAAACATCAATGTTTTTAAAAAAATTAAATTTGATAAAAATACCCTTTCTTACATGTCTTATTTCATTTTCCAATGTTTTCTGATATTCTTTCGTTTTAAAACGGTTTAAGTTCGTCGAGATGAACCATTAATCTAAAAAAATGTACTTTACTTTCATTTCACGGTTACTAGAAGTTCCCGGATGTACCAGCGTACTCTTATTAATTTGTTCTATTCGGTATTTTAGTGCATTAGTGTTCGATATTTGAGTGCACTTATCTCGGACTTTTTCTCGATGTACATCGCAATGTGCATCAATGTTTACTACTGAAAATTGCCGATGCATCGATGTACGATTATGGCACATCGCGACAACACTATTCTGTATATTATATTGTATCTTGGTTACTGCCATATTTGGCGAGCAATACCTCATTGGTACATTCCGTATGTGACACATTTTTACATTCAAAGACAGAGCCAGAAACTCCTCCTTGAGGGGCCCTGTGTTCTTTTATGTGTACTAGTACACAGACATACAAGGTGGACCACTGTCAAACACCCAGAATTACATAATGCACAAACAAACTTGTCTGAACCGGGAAACGAACCCAGGTCAAGCGATAGTGGCAACCTCGACTCTGCCACTGAGACATAGGAGGTGGACTATAGCATACCCACAGGTCGTAATAAAAAAGTGAAATTAAACTACTAACACAACACACAGTGATAAATATTGCACGCTGAAGAATAAAATTGCCACTGTATAATTTCCTAACATGCCCAAAACCTTAACAGATCTTGGCACTAGTTTGCTCTTGCATCTAATAAAAATTTCAAGTTAAATGATTCATATGGATAAGTAATCTTTTTTAGACTTTCGATGAGAAGATTTATATAGCATAGTGTGGTACCTATCTGAACACTCAGCAGCATAAGTCAATTATAATAGTGCACAAGTGCATTAAAAGGGGAATTTATATTATGAAGAGGAAATAACAACATGAATCAAAATGCTACACTATTATATTATTTAAGTGAAAATAAGCTTTGTGGCCCCGAAAGATGTCAACTCCAATCAACACCTAGTGAATTATTTCTACCTTCTATAGGCTTTTTAAACCTATACAGACGTATACAATGCAACTGTCTTATACAAGTCAACATTTGATAAACGAGATGACCAAAGGCAAAAGTTTGACACCAAGCCCGAGGTGATCAAATCTGATACTATCATATCTTTTTGTTTCACGATCAACGTGTCACCAATGAGATGTCATTGGCTTATCATAATGGTGGTTAACCATCATTTATGATTAATAGATAAATATTTTGGCAATGGAATAAAAACAAACTGTTGTTTGTAGAAAACCTTTCATGCACTATAACAAATAGCACATGATGATTAATACATCGATCAATGCCATCAATATGCCAACGAACCAGTCAAGCCATGCTGATTGCATATATATATTTATTATTTGGCATGACATTTAAAAATGCAGGTCTTTTGTGAATATTGAATGTCAACCTTTCAGAAACCTCTGAGGCTTTCCAACCATCTGGCACTTGGTCCATTCTTTTGGGTACTGTGGCTTGTCGCAATATCCCCCACATAAGAGGGTACAATATGAGAATGTATTATATGTATTATTGGAGTGGGCTGACACTTGAAAGATGACTATAGATTTTGCAGAACACTAAGTCATATCATCCTTGCTGCAAGGGTATTTTATATACATTTATGTGCATTAATAATTATGTACATATGAATTTAGTATAAATGAAGTTCTTTGAAGAAGGATGAAGTCATATTCCAAGGTGACAGTTTATAGATGTATAATTGCTTATCTGGATGGCCTGGATTAATGATGTGTTAATTGCCTATGGTCAGCCAGAGGCCTGCTGCTTGTGATAACACTTCACTTCTGTTATTCTTAATCCTGGATTTGTGGATTAATGAGTCTGCGACTAGGATCAGGGTCACAAATCAACATGCTATCAGGGATAATCCACTGCCTATTAATGATAATAAGCTTTGATCACATTCTTGCAATAAGTCCTTGCCTACACACCTTCCCTTTAGATCTCTGATAATTATTTCTGTACAAGATGGGAGGGGGGGGGGTGCCTTACCTAATAAGAGTATAGTTGAGTTGATTGTATAATAAAGTGAAATCTCTATCTACTGAACACTTCCTAAAAGTGATCATTTAATAGCCATGGCTTCAGTAGGCCATAGAGAATATAGCATGTTAGATGGAAAACAAAACAAAATGTTGAGATTTATGAATTTTCGATGTAGAATAAATCTTCATCTGGTAAACTCATCATCAGGTAAACTGATGAAGATGTATGAATACATTGAAAATTCATAAACCTCAACATTTTGGTTTGTTTTTAACAACATATTACATGTTAGATGGAGAGTATAACATTGATGTCAAATAATATTGCTGCTCGTTTATTGATAATATCAAGCCTGAATAATCAGCAAAATGAAAAATAGAACATTAACATGCCAGGTACCAAAATCCATAGACCCTCCAAGTTCTGATTCCAATAAATCACTAAACACTAAAATTGTAATTATAAAACTGTAACAGGGAACACAGACCAGAACTGCCACTTTCTTAAACTTAAAGGTGTCTGTCTATGTGTGTGGTCAGCCACAGGCTCTCAAACAACAATCACAAAAATGCTGCATAAAATAAGAATAATTAGAGGCATGCTCCTATCCCCCAAGGAAAACCATTCTTTTGGAGACATAAACCTCTGTACACTTTCCTTGTTTCTTAAAAGAAAGCTTCGCATTAGTCACATAAACCTTATATACACTAGGACCTAGCCCTCAGGTTGAAACCACAGATGTCAGACAACTTTTGTGGGTCTATTGACATGTTAGTTCTCAATATACTGGGCCAACTGATCAGCCATATAATGTAACAGAATATTTCCCACTTAGATTTGGTCCACTGCTCAATGAATTGCTACAAATCTATTTGTCAAAGACACACCAGTGTACAATCAATCCCATCATAAATTGTCTTTAGTTAGTCTGTATGCTCTCACTCTCCAAAGGCTGTAGGATTGTTAGATATGTTAGAGGATGTTAGACATATTAGAGAGGGTGGCCACATAAAGGGCTAATGTAAAACTATATAATGATGAAGACAAACTTTATAACAGGAATGCGAGTTACAAATTAAAGACACGTATAATGGCATACAAATGATAACATTGCATCATGGGAAAAAATACCTCCTGTGTATCAAGGGGATAAACATAATCTTCCTTTGATGAATCACTGAAACCCTCATAAACATTAGATGATTTCATTGATTCACTAAAATTAGTAATATGAATAAGGAAAAATGTATCGTGAACAGCAGTCATGAGCCTGTTTCAATTATTGAGCATTGCCTGTTAATGTGCATTATAGCAGTCAGCAAGTTAAAAGAAAATATCCCATTGGTTTAATATGTTGTTGATATTAATTATAGACCAATTTTGACGAAAATAAGGCTATGATAATTCAATTATATGAACATTTGTTTTTTAGAAGTATGAAGGGATAAACTATTTATTTCAATCATAATCACAACTCTGAGACAGGGAGTTTGGCAAATCTTATATTTCTATTCTTTAAAACAAGGTGATGTACCCTTGATGCCAATAAGTAAGTAGATAGTTCTCTTAAATCTTAAAGAAGCGAAACTATTAACAATTGGTAAAGGTGACCTGGCCTAGCATTGATAATTGTATATCTGACACCAAAGATTAGTGAATACGTTACACTGTACAAGCTCAAACTTTTACTTTGAAGTAAACGTTATAATGTTTCAATATCTAATACATTAACAAACATTGTGTATAACTAACCTAACCACCTTAGAGTATATTTACCTGTAGACCTAACATACAATGTACTTAGTATACCATATCAATCACTATTTCTGACATTTGGTTTGTGAAGTTCTTAAAGTACATGATACACATACATATTCATGACTGGGGAATGGTGCCATATCCTCACAATACTAATTCAAAAAGTAGTTCAAATAATTAACTGTACTTACTGTGAAATATTTTTTGAGTATCATATGGTTCAGTATAGTTGGCAAGATCATCAGAGTCAGTGCTGTCCTCTAGTGGTGAATGACTATGTGGGGCAGTGAGCCGTACGAGATTAACTGCATCAACTGGGTCGCTATAGTCATCTATTATAATGTCCTGTAATGAAAAACAGCCATTAAAGAATCAAACTATATACATATTCAAGGCCATGCATTCCTATAATCCAGAACACAGAAAAAAGCATGTCCAATGAAACAAATGGTCCTAAAGAATGGCTGCTTAGAACATGGTCAACAATTATGCAACAGGTCCATAATTATGATGGTAGCCTAAAACATGAAGCATTTCATATAGATTCTATGTTACACTGAATTAATGGTGTAAAGTTTGTGTATCTGAGCCAATGCCCTTATAAATTCTTATTCAATGCAAAATATTTTGATCTACAACCTAATTATACCAGGAGAGGTAGAGGGCATGGTAAAAAGGCGCTGTATAAGGTCTAGAGCATAATAAAGACAGATGGAAGATTATCATTTGTCCCACTGATATAGATTATCACCAGTTCAATGGAAAATCATCAAAATCCATGAATCATCTATGACCTAGCCATTGTACTTGAACTGACCTATAAAACAGAGGCTGACCGGCTGTTGGCAAGTTGTTTTTCAGGGTTAACACAGTTAGATAAATGTGTTGATTGAATGCACCAGCGAACATGGCATAATCTAGGTTGAAATAGCTTTGCTTTATTCCTTACAGATTTCATTCTATCAATAGCATCAAACATATGTTCCTGACACTATTGATATTCTAAGGAAAATAAAAGTAAGGTAGATTCTAGTTTTTAGTTTTTCAATTTTGATGTTAAGAATTTCATACTAAAGAGGCATCATGGGGGTATTAAACCTGAATTAAGGCCAGGTATATAGACATAAAGCACTGAATACAAGCCATGCCTTGGCCAGCTGCCACCAAAGGGATGCACAACCTATAATATAATTTTTCAGAGAGCTGCACATCTCTTTACAGTCTCAGAACTGAATAGTCCAAACAAATCCAAAGTGCAGGCAAAAAGAAGCTATTTTTGCCAATTTAGACCAAAAAAAATACTTCTCCAAAAGAGGGAGACACTTAAATGGGGCTCTCAAGACCCAACCGAGTTCCTTATCTGTGGCTACAAGGATATGTGTAAAATAAATTCTCTTTGCTTTAATCAGTGATTTCACATTACAAAGGAAATGAATTGTGATAACTTTCTGAATAAAGAAAAACTCTAGATACTATTTTACTTTCATGTAGATAAGACAAACAGAACTGTCTATCTGGTACACAACAAACACAAAAAGCAGTGCTCTGATGGAAGAAACTAAAAAAAAAATGTTTAAAGATGATCCTCCATATGACACCTTAAGATCAGCTGAGCTAGAACAGATGGATGAAACCGTGAGAAATATTCCAGTTCCTTCACAAAATTAAAATCACCTTTCCGTCAGAAAACAATAGAAAACACCTTGATTTGATTTCTCACCTGGTCCTCAAAAGATGAGAGTAAAAGGCAGGTATCTCAAACTTACAAGTCGAGGGTCTATAGACTATACTAATCTAATATCTCCCCTGAGTATCTTTTACTTAAACTTAACTTATACAGGTACCATGATATAGCAAGACATTACCATGCAATATGTCACCACCTGCCATTTGTTACAGGTGCCAAACAAAAACTCCTGAACCCCATTGCTGTCAGAGATAAGTCAGAGACATAAAAACACATCTTCTAGGATCATACTTTCATTGAAATCAAAAACATGTGTGATGAAATTCAAAAGAAACTGATTGAAAGACATCTTACAAATATGAAAGTTGTTACTACCACGTTAATGTTAAGCTAGCACAATTTACACGATTTCTTATCTAAACTTCAAGGTGAGAAATGATCTAAGTTTCTTGATAAAACCATCTTAATATTAACATATGAACATACCTAGTACGTATCAGAGCTGTGAAAACACTTGAGAACACTTGAAAACCAATTAATGTTGTTAAGTAGTATGCATCATAAATGATGGTTAATACAGCCAAATTCATATTTTTGAAAACAATTGTTTTTTAAGTGTTATGCAGAATGCACTTTGAAATTGCCTAAAATGGCAAATTGTTTTTGTCTTCATTCTAGTGGTGGGACTCGTGTGAATTATCCTACTTGAGTAGAGGCTCTTGAACACTCGATTTATTCGCGATTAAAATGAATGATTTTGGAAAAAAGTTCAGAAAAACTTTCTTCAGAAAGTTACAAACTTTCACTTCCGGTAGCAATGTTTTCAAGTGTTCTCGGCTCAACCTACCTTGAATAACTCCAACATACTCATCAAATTATTCAAATAGAATAACTCAATACACTTTGTTGATATGTTCTTGTTTTGCATTGAAAAGTAAAAAATTTAGCAATTTACGCTAATTTGTTTGACCTAGTTAAACATTTCATTGCACATGCGCAACCGGATGTAATCGATAAATAAAAACAAACACGAGAAAGCTAATTGTATTTGATTTATTATTCCAAACTTAAGGTATCATACTACAATGCTATATATTAAGGAAGGCATCATTGCTAAACATTGTACAGAAATGTTGTACATTGGATGTGTTTTTTTACGTAAATTGCGGTTGAAAGGTGGATAAATCACATTTTCTTCATATTTTTTTTTATTTTTCTTCAATTCGAGTCAGAATTTACCAATCGATGAATCGTATTTACAGGGTTTGGCGAGTAGTTTTCGAGTCCACGAGTCAATCGTTGCTCCACTACTTCATTCAATTAGTATTTTCCTAATATTTTAATATGGTTTAAAGTGTAATCTAGACCTTTTGTTCTGACCCACCCACTAAGCATGTTAGTCAAAATATGTAACGGAATCATTCAAACTTAGTCAACAGAATTTATAGAACACATAACCACATTATTTGGAATATTTCCTGTTAGATATACTTTAAAACAAAGTCTAACTTTTATGGCATTTTTATTCTACTTTATTCATGAACAGATTAAGATTTTTAGATTTGAATCTTGCATTCCTGAAAATATGTGATTTATAAAATCACGGCGTTTTTATCAAATTTCATCAACAAATCCTTTGTTTCACTTTTATCTCATAAATAACCACATGGTTCTTTCAGTTGAATAGTTTTTCATTTCTTATAGCCGATTAAGACCTTTCAGTATAATAACACAGTCAACAGTACTGATCACGCCAGACAAAAGATGTTAATTAATAACAACACTTGCATCAACGGATAGATTATTACAAGATCAGTATTGGGTGTTGAAATGATGACAGCCTTTCCTGACACTTTAATGAATCGGAGTTCATTCACAAATTCTGAGCCAATGTCAATATTAAGAGTGAGTCATTGGAAAAAGTACATTATTGAACATGCTTGAATCTAATATCCTTTTGTCAGACAGTATAAATCAAATTCTTGAGGTTGATATGTTTTTTTAAAGTTTTATGTGATGATTGATTGAGATTTATTTTGAAATAAAGCAAAACTTACGTCAAAGTCAGTTCTATAAATGACAATAAACCCCTCCTTAAAACAATATCGGACACTGTTCAAGTTTCTTGAACTGAAATTGACTATTGTGTGATGTTCAAAGCTAATATGAATTGTCATTGACAAATACTAGAAGATAAAAAACAGTGGGTATTTTGTGAGTATAGGCCATGAGTGAGAGACGTGAATGAGCTGGGGGGGGGGGGGCTAGTGGAAGGGGGTTTGAGGGAAAATTTGAAAATGGGATTGCATTTTTGGGCCGTTTTGATTAAAAAATCTGACTAATATGAACTAATAAAATGTAAATTATTGGACATTTTTAAAGTGTGGGGCATTTCAATAAAAAATCAACTTTTCTTTACATTTTGAAAGTACGGCATGGCGTTTTGTTTGTATATGACACTAACCCAGTGCAGTAGTTGACACAAAAAGCTAATCTAAATAACCACCAATCCATTTTTCTACCCCGAGATTTCAATACACAATGTAGTTGTATGGGTGACTTGAAAAATGAACCCCACATTCATGGGGGTAGTTAAAACCTTACATGGCCTCAGAGTCACTGACTCGATCATAACTCACCTGATCATTGATTGCACTGTCGTCTAGATATCCCTGGCTGGAACCACTATCAGACTTCAAACTCCCACTTCTGTCTTGTTGAAATAACACGGGTGGAGGTGGCAACGCTGGAGGTGAACGGTCCCCTGGACTGACTGGTTTGCCAGATTTAGAAACCACAAAGTCGGATTTGTTTTGATTTTGACTTGAAAAGTGAACGAAATTCGACGAGTCAGTGTAACGAAAATGATCACCTTGTTCTTGGCTCAGACCCACTGTTTTATTGTCCGATACGTTAGCAGCTCTGTAATCTGGCGTGGGAGGCTCTGGTGGACTGAATCGCTTGGTTCTACTCAGGTTTTTCAACCACTTCGCTGCCATTCTCAACTTTCATTTCATTTCCTAATTTTATGAAGTGAATAAAATGGCGAATTTGATTTGTCAAGATAAATTATTTAATTTATATTTATGTAAAATTCAACAGAACCGTGTTTACAAATAGTTACTTTTAGTTATAAGTAGTGTTCAAAATACAATATATGAGTTTCTATACAGCAGAAAAGCCAGATATTTGCGATCAATTTAAAGCACCTGAGTTTGATGACGTCATTTCCGATTTATTAAATTCTAGAAAAACACGATGCGGCTAGAAAAGTGCTATTTTTGCTCTTCTACAGTGTATCCTGGTCACGGAATACAATTTGTACGCAATGATTGTAAGGTGAGAATTGTTTTTAGTCAATAAACCATCATTTACATGAACCGTATCGCTTGTAAATTTGATATGTATTTCTGTTTTTCTTGAAAATTCTAATATCGCCCATGAATATTTCAAAATCAAATGCAATTTAGCACGGACATCTAATACGTTCTTCGAATTGCCCTGGAACTATATTTATACCAGGACTGGCATCCAGATCCAAGTATTTTTTAAGACCGCCGACTCTCGTTGGGCTATTTATCCCTATTGACTCAGTTGTTCATATAAATTTACGTACCTTAGATGCTTTGTAATCGACGTAGATAGAAAATATTGTTTCCTAAATTGTTCTGGAAAGCGATAATTATAACTAAATGTACTTTGAACAGGTCGACTGACAAAAAAGCCGGGCTTCTGGCACGTCTCGTTCTCGCTCTCAAACAAAACGTGAAGAACGTGACGTCACTTCAGAATCATAGCATTCAAAATAAGTAGCGTTTAAATCCCAATACCATATGTAATATATCGGTGGGCTAGGGGGAGAATCCTCGCTAAGCACGCTGGAGGCCCGGGTTCGAATCCCGTATTAGATCTTTTGTTTTTTTTCGAGGTCGTTATCTTCATCGTCTAGTTTACGAATACCAAATGTCGATGTGATGTTTTAATTGATAAATACGAATTCCTTACACATTTCGTTATCTTATTGTGAAATAGCAAACTAAGAGATATCTTTACTCGCTAGGAATTAACATAATATTATTTGAAGTGATTTTAGAAAATTTTGAAACCGCCATCTTGGTAATATTGATGACGTGATCACCATCGGTCAAGGTCAGGTCAAAAGTCATCCATCTTGCCATTTGCCCAGCGGATGGTTACCAGTCGACAAAAAACGATGAAATCACGTTGAAAATAAAATATACACTTTAAAATTGAGGCTGATCGAATATGACAAGACTCCATTGAATACAGCTGTGCAATTTACAGTCACCAAGATGAGCTAATTTCGGAGAGATTCGGGAATTAAAAAAGGTAAGCACTTCCGGTTTCCCAACTTAAAAGTATTTGAAGTCCCAGAATTTCGCCAGAAACATTCTCTCTGACTGTGCAATTTAGCTTCTTTTGAGAAAAGAAAGATATTTGACTGTTTCAATGAATTTTCCACGGACGTCAAGTAAGTTTCTGGCGAAAGCCGGAGCATAGATTATTTAAGAGGACTGGAAACAAGAATGACCTAGAGTCCATTTCACTGCTTCAGTTCGTCAGTAGAACGGCAAAAATAAGAAATTGGGAGACCATTGTGCAATAATATTTGGAAAAGTATATTCATAATGTACATGAATGACATTTGTATATCTTGGATTGCTTCTAGTTTGGCTTATAAAGTGTGTGGCCTCTTATATTTGGATGTTTCTCTGCCATGTTATTTTCAATAAGATTAACATGGCTGAAATTCTTCAAATTACAAGACGGCACAGGCTTATTGCACAAAAAACTAAAAAATCTGAAATATACAAATGTCATTCATGTACATTATAAATATACTTTTCCATATATTATTGCACAATAGTCTCCCAATTTCTTATTTTTGCCGTTCTACTGACGAAATGAAGCAGTGAAATGGACTCTAGAGTGCTTATTGCACAAAAAACTAAAAAATCTGAAATATACAAATGTCATTCATGTACATAATGAATATACTTTTCCATATATTATTGCACAATGGTCTCCTAATTTCTTATTTTTGCCGTTCTACTAACAAAATGAAGCAGTGAAATGGACTCTACCTTTTTATTTCCCGAATCTCGCCTGAAATTAGCTCATCTTGGTGACTGTAACCTGTATATCTGTATTAATAGAGTCTTTTTGTATCGCATCTGCCTCAATTTTAAAGTTTTATTGGTATTTTTAATATGAATTCACTGTTTTTGTGGACTGGACGATTCAGCCAAGCAAATGGCAGCTGATCTGTTCAAAGTACTTTTAGTACTAATTATCGCAAATGACAATAATTTTGGAAACAATATTATACTTTGAATAGATTACTAAGCATCTAAGGTAAGTAAAACTGTAGATGAACAACTTGGTCAATAGTGATAAATAGGCCAACACGAGTTGGCAGATTTGAAATAGACTGCCATCTTGTTTCCAGTCCTCTTTATAATCTATGCTCCAGCTTTCGCCAGAAACTTACTCGACGTCCGTGGAATTTTCAAAAGAATATGTGAAAATCCTACTTCAAAATTATGTTTATTATGGTAAATAAGTAAAATACACCACGAACCGCATACCTAAATGTGCTATCTTCATCCTATGTCCTTCTACATTGTATCTGGTTGTTTTTATGTTCTTTTCATTCTTGTGTAATTTTTCGCTCACTTTCTGCAATATATCTCATGATGCATAATCGTCTTTTATAATAGTAATGTGATAAAATTGATATCCCCCACTGACAACTGATTGACACATGTTAGATATTGATATTCTGCACGGTCACGCATGCACATTTGAAGTAGGCGGACTCCACTCAGTCTCATATTTCATAAATTCATCACATGACATTGACAATGACAGATCATGCATGATGGAAACACAAACATCATTCTGCCATAGTAAAAAAAATGTGAAATTCAGCTTACTGAATAAAGTAAGGATAACTTTGTATATTCTAAATGATCTGTCTTTACAGGAAAATTTATGGTTTGGAATATATTTTATCTAAAGAATTATTTTGGGAAGTATTGGTGCAATAGTTAGGAAGAAAATCATTTACAACACTCACAGAAAAATTTTGGAAGAAACAACATGGTACAGAATAGATATCTACAAAACAACCTTCATTACATATTACGTACAGGTTACTGTTACTTATCCAAAATCATGTTTAAAGTTATCTTAGACCTCATCAGAATAGAAGTATTGACACACATTAATAATTCAAAAGGTTCATGTAGATTTGATTTCTCAAAAATAAGCAATCAGTGGACCTCAGTGAAAATAGTATGTTTAAAAAATAAGCTACTTTAGAGACCCAGTTTTTATCCATATGTAGATTTATTTATCAAGATTCTAGGAAACCATTTGGAATTTTTACATTTTTTCATTCAACACACTAGTGCCAATATTTATCACTGTTTGCCCTGTTTATTTTAGATTGTTTGTGGTATGGCTAATGTGTGATCTCTTTTGATTCTTTTCCACAATGTTAGTTTTGAAGCATGAGCCTCAAAATTAACATGGCTGATGCTCTCAAAAATTCTTTATAGCATTTTGCAAATGCTATCCGAAATAATCAAAAGTTAAATCTTAAAAATATGAATTTTGTTCAGTATCATTCATCAGAGACCTTTTTTCTCATTTTTGTGAAAGCAAATGAACACAGAGGCTTGAATGCACATACGCTGATTTATCAAAATACTAAATCATATTCATTATTAAAATGAAGAATAAAATAATAAACCAATTCATGAAGATGCTTTGTAATAATATTTCAGATTTTCCGGTTCTGTCGAGGGAAATGCCACAAAGCTTTCAAAAAGAAGAGGAATCCCAGGAAGACAAGATGGACGAAAGCTTTCCGTAAGGCAGCAGGAAAAGACTTGGCAGTTGACCCATCATTTGAATTTGAAAAACACAGAAATGTTCCAGTGAAATATGACAGAGCACTTTGGCAAAATACTGGTATGTTTGTAATAAAATGGTAAATGGAAAACATTACATACCATAATAAACATCTGTCATATACAATCTTATAATAGAATTAATATTTTTAGTAATAGATGCTACCAAATTCATTCATTGATTCTCTTATAGTCTGATCAATCTGTGATTTCAGTCGAGGCTTTAAAAAAGGTCGAAACTATAAAGTTGAAGCGACAGGCCCAGTTTATAAAGAACAGACTGAAAGAAGGCAAGAGGTTGCGCAAAGTGGAAGACATACAGGAAGTCAAGAAGAACATTCATCTCATCAAATCACCAGCAGGTATGAACTACATAGTACATGTATTCCTCTTCAATGTACAGTGAAACCTGTTAAGTGGAACACCTCTATCTCATGATAAACTTAAGTCCTAACCACAAATGATATTGCTTTACAAGAGTCCTGGCTAGCAGCACCATTTCTACCCTTTGTTTACAACTGTGATGCTGATGATTGATACATAATTTGATTGAAGTTAAATAGTAGCTGGGACAGAACAAGTCCCAAGTCTGTATATTCACTCTTATTTCTATTCCTTGGAGAAATCCCAACATAGAATTTTATTGGTTTTAATTAGAACTTATTAGTTAAAGATAGTGAAACATTGATTCTGATTGGTCTACAATCAAAATTTGCCATTTGTGCAACAAATGTAACATTTTGATGTAATTAATAACAGTCCAAGTTAGTGTTGTCGCGATTAATCGATACATCGCCAAAAGTGATTCTGGTAATGCATCGATGTCTGAAACAAAACATTGATGTTTAAAAATAAATAAAATCTGCTAAAAATCACCTTTTCTTATCTCGTTTTGAAGTAAATGTCTTACTTTTCTCATTGCTTTATTCAATTTCTAATGTTTTCCGATATTTTTTCACTTTAAAAATATTTTAGTTTGCAAAAATGAACCAATGGCCTCCAACTTTTACTTTGTTATCCCTACATCGGGATTTGCATTGATGTTCACTCCAGAAAATTGCCGATGCATCGATGTTCAATTATGGCACATTGCGACAACACTAGTCCAAGATATAAATGGGACTTGTTCTGTTCAGGCTACTATGAAATGAATGTCAACCTGCAGTGCAATGACCCAAATTTGGATCCGGAAGTCATTTTTTGATTACAGATTTTGATTGGGCGCTTGATCAAAAAAATTGCCTTTGGTTGTAGATGTACACTACCTTACCAAATAACTTGACTGCAATGACCTAAATTCTGATTTGGTAGTCATTTTTGAAATACTGATCTTGCATTTGCATGATTACCAAATGATATATGTATGTTTTATAATTCCAGGACTTCAAAAGAAGAAAGCTACACAGGGTGTGGTGGAAGTTATACAAGATTCATCATCAGAGGAAGAGGATGATGAAGAAGAACAGATGGAAGCAGTTGAGGCCAACTAGACAAACAGACACTTTGACCATCTTACAAAAAAACAGACACTTTTAAACATCTTGACAACATGAAGCTCTAAGTTGTCAACCATGTAAAATATCTGACACAGATCCATAATACTGTACTCCTACTTAATTTTGCGCTACGTATTTTGACGAAACTGCCAAATTAAAATGGCTGCCAAATTAAGTAGAGTATCCTATTGTGATGAAGAGGGAATAAACAAAATATGTATAAAAATTGTAAAATTAACATTCTTTATTGTGTACAGGCAAATAGATATTAATAGGCAGTATCACATATTTCAGATATAAATCAAGTGACATGATATAAATCAGTTATTCAGATGCACTAGGTCACTGCATTAACTGCATTGATGTACAGTAAGATTTATGCATACTCTGATGTACATTGTACTTGTACTTGTGATTGTGCTGTGTAGTACACGAGTACTACATACATAGGTTGAATATTTGCAGGTAATGCTCTCTCATACATTGATGATGATAAGCAGGTAGACATTTATAAATAGACTGCAACTTAAATACAGGTGATTCCCAGTATTCAATACTGTATTGACTATCATTTTAATAAAAATAAAAAATGAAAACCTAAAAAATGTTTTGTATTATTCATAGAGATATGACACCTTGTAGATATTATGACGAAATAAGTTTCTTTTAATATGAAGCTTATAAAAACCAGGGCTAGAGTCTGATTTAGGCTTGCCTACAATGAAAGGAGTGCATTATTTCAGTCACAATTGCTTATGTGGTTCAATCCTTTTCACAAAAGTAAAGAGGAAATGTAGAGGAACATGAATTGTAATGCCACTTTCCAATAAAATCCAATATATTCTTCAAATATTCCATTTTTTCTCATTAAACGTTTTCTCAAGTTGTAGATAATCCCTTTATTACCAGTCTCAGTCCATTTGGCTCAGTGTGCTTTTATGGAATCTCCAAGTCCACCGTCCATTAACAGATTACTAGTAACAAGTGTCCACACCGTGCCCATCTTCGTTCACTGGTATAGTTTTCAAATCAGATATGACCATGGTGCAATTGATCGTATTCTATGCTATTCACACATGATAATTGCAATAACAATGAATGGAGCACTACTGCATACAACAAAATGGTTTCATAATCTTTAGTCTGTGGTTGTAAGTGCAGTGCGGGAGCCCCCTCGACCCTGAATTTGGTGAAAACGTTCTTTAGAATACCGTAATATGTTCAATATTCGCTGTGATGATCTTGTGTTTTCTGTTAAATCTCTCGTTAGGCTAGATACGTTTGCTGTTTGCCAATATAGCCTAACTCTACTGGTAAATGTAGTCGTATTATCATAATCCATACTTGAACACCGTGCACCAACGCCAACTGCACTGAGGCGCCAACCTTTAGGTCATGAGCGTTTATTTGAAAGGCACATCGAAAATAGGAAAAGGCCAATGGTTGCCCTCAAATAAACGCCCAGTGTTCGAGCATTCCAGATGATTAAATAATTATTTAGTAATCTAAGAGTATTTTTCCCAATGAACAAAGTTTGGTGGGATCATAGTGAAGCTTACCGTTGTCTGTTCGGGAAATAACTTATAATTATTTTCCCCAAAACACGTTCCAGACTTTCGGTTGTACGGATTAGTTTTGAGAATGCCTGGGAGGGTAAATGCACTCTGTCAAAATGATGTGGTGCCTTTTTGACTCAGAAAGTAATTTAACTCTAACTGTTCCATTTCGTCAACGTTCTAGTGACAAATGAGAGCAAGAAATCAGCCACCAGAATGCCAAATTTCAGACTTCGGTGCTGAAACGACGCGGAATTCTAAAATGGACAAAAAGATTTTAGGTATCAAAACGACGCCAAGGTATTTGTGATCATTTGACTGTACGTAACAGTGTCGAAACGGAAAAATGTTTCTATTAAGATTCTCTTTGGACCATATATTTCGTTGGGGGATGCGGCATTACGAATAATATGGTAATTTATGCAGAGTTCCTTGGCAGTTCTAATCTTCAAAATATGAGTAATTTTGTTACCAAATTGATCTACGCCGGGTATCGACTTTGAATAACGGCTTCCAATCCTCCTTGAAAAATTGGTTATAATTATGAATCAAAATGGAAGTGAATTACTAAATGAATTCATTTTATTTTCACAACTTGCTAAACTATTCAGGCATATAGCCAGCTTTTGCCAAGAGGGGGGTCACAAGGGGCGGGGGTTAATATTTGGCAACATTGGCCCAAAATCACTTGAAACGTGCATGCTCAGAATGGTCGTGAAAACGTACATGATTTTGAAAGAATTTTTGGCCAGGAGGGGGGGGGGGGTCAAACCTCTAGAATCTCCCTGGCTACTGGCCTGCTATTCAATTGTAAACGTCATCAACAGATTAATATAATGTTATTCATAACCAATTAATCAAAATCCGATTGTGCCATAAATTTGATTTACTTTTTAAAAAAAACTATTTTTAATTGTACTTTTTTACATGTAAAAAGTGAACATGAAATAAAAGGGCAGTGAAATCATTAGGAAATCATCTTGTAGTTTTATGCTACGATTAATGTGTCATCTGTACAATAACAGCTTGTGTGATTTTTTTAGAAAACACATTTACATCCTCCTGAACAGGTGTCCAGAATCCTTACCTTGAGATATTCTGGATTTTGAAGCCCTGTGGTCGGAGGATGCAAATTTACAAATTTGGATTTTTGATTTGAATTGATTTTTTTAATTTCAATCTCGTGATTTCATTTTATTGCCGTATTTCAACTCTTCAATAAAAATTTTATCATTCAATATCTGATATTCTGTATAAAAGCAATTGTTCCTGTGCACGAATGTCAAAACTGCATCATGACCTTCAAATAAATTGGTAAGCTTTGGTGAGTCTCAGGCCAGGATAAGGGGCCATGAAGAAACGCGACACACTCCACTGACGGATCCTGAAGCTAACAAGGGGTGGGGGTACACTTGAATCAGGAAAAAATGTTCACCGGGCCCCTAAAACCCAAAAATGGGACCAACTTTAAAAATTTAAGGCCCATTTTTGATTATTTATGCTAAAAAGGCCAAGTTATGCCACTTTTTGAGGCTCTACAAATTTTTTTTCTCGGAGCCCACCCTAGGGCTGAAGGGGCGGGTCCCATGCTCCCCCCTCCTGGATCTGCTAGAGCACTCTGGCGATATTTGGAAACTGCCAAGCTTTGTTTCATGTCATTTGTGTTTTCCATGAGTTATTTGACAACAGATGAGCTTCTTCTCTTAGGAACTCCCGGGGATTTCAGTAATGAATCAAAATACACTGTGCGAAAACATAATAGCTGACCTCATTTGTATATAGACACATGATCTTTGCAGAGCATCTTGGTAGAAACCAACCCTCTACCGATAGCGAATTAATCAAGGTAATGTGTATTAACTGTGTTATAGTATGTAACATTAAGCATGCAATGAAAAGATCATCATTCGCGGGGATAGGCCGGGGAAACTTCAGGCGGCCCGGCGGCTAATAAGGTCAGGACTCATGATAGGATTGACTGACCCCTGCTGTTCTAACATAAAATGACTGGTAAGACACCTCCAGTAACTGATTACAGTGATATGGGAATACGAACCATGTTACGACAGCAAGATCCGTTAAGAACAGTGACTCTCGGGGGCGAGCCAAATATTTGTAAACACGGAAGTAATTCATACATGGAAAAGACAACAATGAACGAAACGTCGTCCTTTTTATTCACCCGGGAATCTGAGGAGTATCGTTTAGGTATAGATTATAGAAGGCAAAATTATTGGGTAATTCATTTGAATATTTTCAAAATAGTAGAACTTTCATTTCATTTTATGACGGTTACATGCTTTCAAAAGAGGAATATATACATAAACGTTACATATTCCGGGCAATGATCGAGTCTTCACTTACGAATCGGAAAGTTTGCCTACTTAGGTTGGAATTTGATAAGCCTGGCAAGCGTTCATATCTGAACATTTCTCGGTTTCTAAGTACTATACGAGTATGTAACACTTATAAGTGCCTCAACCAGTGGTGTATAACTACTAACTAGCCTACAATGACTGCATGTCTACAATGCATGCCTAAAATACCCTTCATTCGACTTCACTTCTTAAAAGAGAGCTTCGTCTTTGCAGTTGATAACTAGACTCTGCGCGCAGGGTAAAAATACGCACTTTCTCTGCCACTAGAATTATTGCGGGCTTTGGAATGCTACATGCTTAAGAATTAGAAAAACATAGCATTTAATGTAAGGTTATAGATAGATGAAAGTTCATTCATCGTTTTCTCCGGCATTTGCAGTAAGGTGGTAATCATCTAAGAGAGCAAGTTAGCAAACCTTGACTTGGACGATAGCGAGGAAATGGAATCTCAAGAACAGGGCTCTATTAATACATCTCTAAAAGGCAAAACGGTTGTGTTCGCGGGGACGCTCGCAAATGAACAGGTAGTCGAAGCTGAAAAGACCAGTGGCTGTAAGGTCTTGACATCTATTAGCAAGGGGGTTGACTTTGTTGTAGTAGGAGAGAATGCAGGCCAGCAGGCAGACGAAGCAAAATCGATGGGTACGTAACAGGGTATACAGGCCCGTAGCTAGCTTTGCAAAAGGAGTGGGTTCAGTTCACGCACACGAGTGTTCAGTGGTGTATGACGTAACAAAAATACGCTTTTTGGGTGTTACAGTATAAAATCATTAATAACATTTATACTTCAACTGTCATCTTATATGTTTAGCGCAATAGCTTAAACTTTCTTTGTTATTGTAGGTATACGATGTCTTACAGAGACTGAATGGAGCGATGTGGTAATTTTTTCCATCAATCCTTACGTTAGGGGAGGCATCAAAAGTTCAGTGTCTGATAGGAAACTAAATAAATCTAGTTTTGAGTTGGACCTCCCCCTCCCCCTCAAAACTAAAAACAATGAAAGTTGATCGCGGACTTTTCACATGTTTTAGCGACTCAATTTGGACTTTCATGGGGGTAGTACTACAACTTATTCATGATTCTTTAACATGTGCCAACAACAATAGGCATAATATTCCATATTCCATGCATCTTGGTGAAGAAGGCATCTGGTAAAGTCTTTATTTTTAAACCATTTCAAGGCATTTCAACTCGAAATTGCAAAAAATTTAAATGTTGAAATTTGTCGGATAGCAAACTGAAATAGCTTTGACCCCCCTCCCCCAACTAGATTTATTTAGTTTTCTATCAGACATTGATCTTTTGATGCCTCCCCTTAGGTCTATAGACAATGAAGACATTGTTACCCTTTTCAGCAGATTGATTTCGCTGAAATTTAAAGAATTTTTTGACGAAGAGACACTCCTTTGATTAAGCTTTATAACAATCATCTGATTGAAATCCCATGGTCGGAGTTATTCAGTAAAGACTGTGCCCAGCTGGTCTGCAATTCATTACATTTTTCATATACACATGTACAGAATATATTATGGTATATATCATTGATTGATTGGTGTTTTTCTTTTTAACTCAGATAAATGATAGCGCTGACTCAGGACCATCACAGTCCATTGAAGTAAAAAATGATGGTAGGAAACGAATTTGTAAAGGTTGGCACAATTGTTTTAGAAAAAATAAAGATAATTTGGATTTATTCTTGCACTCAGTGAAACCTCAAATTAAATTCACTAAGTACTATATTTAGCAAACATTTTCACATGCACGCGTTTTGAGTTGTTTATAGGCAAAAGTAAAGTGGTTTTCCAAGATGAAAGACCTCATTATTTTAATATTTTGGCACTTGGACACCACGTAATAGTCAAACCAGATTTTCTCCATAACACACTTTAGAGTAATACTTTTTAAATAACCAAAATCACAAGGATAATTATTGTAACGTGTTTGCTTATTATTTTTGTTCATGTCCATATCATTTTTGTTATAGCTAGTACAAAAGCTACGGACAAAGACCAAGTATGTTTATTTAGTGATATCCCAGATGTTGCTCTCATACACGTGTTCCAGTACCTCCCCATGTGTGACCTGATAAACATTCTCACTGTCTGCGAAAGATGGAATGAACTTATTGAAGAAAGTGATTACCTTTGGCGCAAGTTTATTCCAAATAACGTCGACCCGCCTGCCAATTGTGCCAAGGGGTTTCTTAAATCTTTATGGACGAGGAGCATAAAAATTGGCAAAGAGAGATGGTTACCAGATGTATCGAGAGCTTTCAGAGCCCGAATGAGAGAAATGGATAGATGTAGTCAGTGGGGTTTTGGAGGCAAGGACCCAATGCGAGCAGGTGCAACATTGTACCAGAGACTCAACCCTACATATGACTTTGTTGAGAAAGGGGGAGACCCGGATAATACAGAACTACTAAGTGTTATGAAAGAAGTATGGGAGAAGTTTAATAAGGGACAGCCATATTTCAGGTCTGACATAGATTCATATTCCGATCTAGAAGACAGTTATGAGATAGAAAGTGAGAAAGATGTGATGAAAAAGTCTCGCTCGGTCTCTTACAGTGGCACATTGGAAGTAAGTAATTTTTAACATGTTTTTGTCTGGTTATCATAGTAATTCACTGTAGGTACTGTACCTCTCGCTGACCATATTTTAAATATCCATAACCAGGCTTCATAACATTTTTGAATGACCCTGAGAGGGCCACACACATGATCGTATGTCATTTTATTTTGACTAAAGCATGAAATGAGATTTCTCAATCTTATTGCACATGTTAATGATGCAATTGAATGTGGAGTTTTTTTATAAAGTTTATTTAAATTATTCATCCTTGCTTATTGCAAATCGTTTTGCAAAACACTGTAGCCTGAATAATTTTGGTGCTGTCTATTGAAACATTCTCCTCTAGCTCTAACAAAACTTCTTGCTCCATTTCAGTTTGTTCAGGGTATCGTGGAGCCATCCTATGCTACAGAGAGATATGCGATAGATCAGAGAGATCTTGATGGGTTTTCACACCTTTCTGAGATAACAGGTACCACCTTTCACACCCTTTAGTAAATGTTACCACTTCTCCGTCTGTGTGTGTTGTGGGTGGCCAGGATTTCCAACTCATGTTCAAAGAAGTGGATTTGCCTCAAGGTCAAAGTTAAGTCATATGTTTTGCCACATCGTGTATTACGTGTACAACAGTTTAGCGTAATTCAATTTTAGTCCATTTACCCAATTTCAGTTTTAGTTTTTGATTCTCCCTCGTATAGGTCTTGTTGACTCTAACCTATTCCATTTAGTTGTTTGAAACCTTGCATGATTAGTTTAGTTCAATCTCCCCTGGAGATTAATTCCATTTTAGTTTCCCTCATTCAATTTTTAGCTCCCCCATTGTATCATATTCAATTTTATTTGATTATCCCTTATTCAATTTTAGCTGATTCTCCACCACCCTATAATATCGAAGTCAGTGACGATGAAGATGCATCGGAAGACATTCAGATGTTACAGAAGCACTACAAGCCGCCAGAGTTGTCCATTTACAAAGAGACCATGGGGATTATATTTGGAGAAGACGACACAAAGGAGGCCAGGAAATTTTCCCTCAACGATGGCTGCTTCAATGAGAATTATGAGTATTCGTATACAATCCTCATTGGACCTTATGCAGTCTTGTATGAATCAAGATTTTACGATTTATAGACTAACAAAGTAAAGCTAGATCCATTATCTTGGACCACGAAAAATATGTTTTGCAACGTCACAAGTGATTGGCATGATGATCACACTTTGTCCCTCCGAGTTTTGATACTGTATCAATTATCTTAAAAGTTGACCCACTTCCACCTATAAAAGGGTATATAGTTTTCAATGTATACAGTGCAGAGATAATAGATCAGAGAGAATGTTTTAACATATCGTAATTTTACTGGGCTTGGTTGCCCATTTTGTTGTTGTCATTCTCTACAACATACTACTAAGCTCCACGCCCAAGTATTTTTTATTTTGGCAACATATGAATTCGTTACTTATTATAGACCGCAGTCCAAATTTTTTTTAACGAAATATCAATGATTTTGCCGAATTTTTCAGTTTCATTATTTTGAAACATTGAATACATGTTTTAATTGGCAGTTTAAAACAGTGCTCATTAACTAAGTCCAATATTCAGCGCCCCTTTAATATCTATTTATGGGCAAATCAATACTAGACTTAGCAGGTCATCTGATTCTCAATTTGATTTTAATTTGAATTGATTCTCAATTGGGACCCATAGTGACTTTGCTCCACCGTTCTTGGTTGAGTTTAAGTCATGGCTCTAATTGGTACAAAAATTAAGCTACCCACGAATGCTGTTTTTCCTCCGGGGCCTTGCCATAACTAAAGAAAACAATGGTGTGGACATTACTGGATTATTTCCGGTGTTTCCTTTTGTTGCTACCTCATTTCTCAAAGTATCCATGCCAATTCTTGACTCTGTTGAAAGCCCATGGTCCAATCAACCGTACCTCCTTATCTCATGATGACCACACAAAATGATAGAGCGTGGGAACCGACTGTGTCAAATGCTACGGATATTGCAGCTATGTGTGTTGTGTTTTCAAGTGTTATTTTATATATGTCCGACAAATCGAATTATGGTTTTGATACTATCTAGATGTATTTAATAGTATCTATATGTCCGTTCATTCATTTGACCAATAAAAACCATAACTGCCTGGAAAGTGATATAAATAAAGTATGTAAATAAATGAATTAAAACGTCAAATTAAGAAGCAAAAGTCTTTTCTGGGTCACTGCGAATGGCATGATTTCCTCGAGTCTCTTCAGTTGCAAGGCAACCATACTGGGACCGATTTGCGTCGTTCCACTACTGCCCTTGGTGGGGGCCCGCTACCATACTATATGACTCCCGGAGTTTACTAAAGCACGTTAGTGGAGGAACCAACCACAGTCTCACAATCTGTCTCTGGCAAGAGCGGCCAGAGAACCAACCCATGCCAAGGGCCGGTAAACGGTTGGACCTTCGGACCGGGTGTCCGTAGTGACAATGATCAACAACTCCGTACCTGGGGCTCGAACGCGGGACCTCCGTATCCCACGACGTTCAACCGCAAAGTAGCCTCAGTCTACACCACTAGGCTACCCTGCTTAGGTGTCAAAACTGCTAAAAAATAATGTAGTTGTTACAATTATTTGCTTGGATAAACATGATATTACATTTCTTAATTGATTAATCTGATTTAGTTGGAATCGAAGTTCGACCAACGATCAAGGCAATGCAATCAAAAACTCTTGCAAATGTCAACGGGAGTCGTAAAGACAGAACGTACAAGAATCGTGATCAATGTAAAGTATAATTTTTAAGGCACATCTTTGAATATCGGGTAGGAGAAACATTCCAAAAGGAAAAAGAATCATTTAGAACATTTGATTTGTTGCCATTGCGTCTCAAATGAATGAAATAAAAGGTAACGCGGGCCACTAAAGCCGATGAGTGAAAATAATTATAATTGACGCATCTAGATCGCTCACTATAACGGTAACTGAATAGGTTTGTGTTGATACGTCGAGGAAAATAAGCTATTTCGACGCTTGAAATAATCTGATTACGCTTATTTATAATTACGCGTGGCTATTTAACACAAGTGTTGTGTAGAACAAAAACAAGAAAACTGACAAGAAACAAGAAACCTATTAAGGAACTGTACTTCAGTTTCAAATTGTTCAAGATATTTCCGCATGTTCAAAAACACAAAATTTATATTTTAGGCTATCCATATTTTGTCAGATATCTCCAATTCATATTACAAGGAAAACATAATCATGTTTCCGAAAAGAATTTACACTCGCTACTCAAAATGAGGCACGGATACAAGTACAGAGAATAGCCTAGTGAAGGCATTATATCTAATAATGGCTTTTCCATATAGCTTTGAAATCTCGTTAAGGTCTCGTTTTAATGAGCTATATGGGGTTTGTTTTTCTTGAAGGAAAAGAAGTTCATCCATTTTGTTACATTGACGTTCCGTCTAAGTAACTAGTTGTGGAACAGTGATTATGGCATTCGATATAACGCCTATCGGTACAATGCGCGTCGGTACAATGCGCGTCGGTATAATGGGTTTCGGTATAATGCGCGTCGGTATAATGGGTTTCGGTATAATGCGCGGACCCCCTCCCTGTGATTCCGTGATGGCTTAATATGATTTGTACAGGTCTCAATCTCTCAGTAAGGTAGTAAGGGTGATATCATCCAAGATATTAAAGTAGTAGAGCCTAAGCAAATCTTGACTTAGGATAACTTAGCGAAATGGAATCTCAGGAACAGGGCGCTATTAAAACTAACCTAGATCCGAAAGGCAAGAAAGTTGTGTTCGCTGAGACACTCACAAATGAACAAACAATCGAAGTTGCAGAAATCAATGACCGTAAGGTGGTGACATCTATTAGCAAGATGGTAGATTTTGTTGTTGTAGGAAAGAATGCAGGCCAGGAGGCAGACGAAGCCAAGTCTATGGGTAGGTGATGTTGTTATATTTTGAAAACGAGCCAACCGAGTCAATTCTAAGCCTATTATTTCCAAAATCATAATATGTGTAATTTTCCAGATACCTAAACTGTTTTGTTATTGCAGGTATACGATGCCTAACAGAGACGGAATGGGACGATGTGGTAATTATTTGTTTCAAATATTTAAGAACCGGTAGAAACATGAGAAATGGTCGCATTCTTTTCAGCATTTTGATTTCGCTGAACAAACAGCTTCATCTGCATTTTTTCTCGTAAAAATTTTCTGGTCATTACAATTTTATGACGCTATTATATTTACAGTGTGTGTTTAGATTATGTTCCACTATTTTCGTCGCAGATCATATTCAGAGGGCATTGATTATAACTAGTATCAGAGGCTATCAAAACTAAAAATGGAATTGCAGAGAAACAAGGCACACTGTTTCATCTGTATCTAGATTGTATAAAGATACTTTATCAAAGTACAGACTGTGATCAACTGACCTACAAGTACATAAGATATTATGGTACAAGTCATTGATTCATTGGCGTTTTTCTTTTTAACTCAGATAAATGGTAGAGCTGATTCAGGCAAGGGCGTTACAATACCCGGGAATTTATCGGTTCGTCCAGTACTTGTTTGTGATAGCGCCCTCTGTAGGTCACTGTGCTTATAGCCTACAGTAATACGGGGTAGGATATCGGGAATTCGGTCAGTTTCTATCCGTCGATTTCGCTATGAATTGAAGCAAGTGTGACCACTTTATCCACTTAAACAATTTGATAATTGATTAAATCTTTAAACAAAATCGATAAACACGTTATACACTTCCTATCTCCTTAGAAATTAGCATGTATTTATGGATTGTGTTTTCGAACAAGGCTCGACCCACCCCAATAGGGAAATCCTTATGCTAATTAGTATGACGTCATATTTTCCTGGGGAATCCTAGATTTCAAGGCCTCAGTCTGTTATTGTGTCAAATGTAAACGCTCTTGGGACGCTCTTTTGCAGACAGAAAATTGACAGATTAGCTTTTAACTTTCAGCTTTGATGTTTAAATATTCTGTATTTCTACCGGACTTCTTGCTGAATATCATATAATGTTATAACTTGATTTGGATCATTGCCTGATTGATCATTCTGAAATTTTGATTGTGATTCATGATTGATTGGCAAGAAAAATAATTCCTATTGTTTTCCAGCGAAGTCAAAATGTTACAGCATGAGTTATAATGTCGAGTTTGCATCATGTTAAATTCTGCTAGTGATTAGAAGTCCATGCACAAGCATACACATAAGAGACAAACACACCCAGGCTCCAGGCCGTGGATGGAAATATAAAACTATTTAAGGCACAAACTGGTATTAATAGACCGATATGTAGTGTCTGCCATGTATTGAAGGTAAACCAATCTGTATTATAAATGTTTCTTCTATCAATACATGGGTTGTGCAATAGAAAAGCAATGGCACAATCAAAAATGTGCATATCAATCGTGAATATCTCTCGGTTCAAAGCTTATTTCCAACAGAATCGTGTCAAAATATGTGTCTGAGTAACAGTTATACATTATAAGATCGCAAACTCTTACCAATTATCAGCCGAATGGCTCATTTTCAACGAAATGTCCTTAAGACAACAGCCCTGGGTCGCGCCTGAGACCAAAAACTACTTCAAATAGCCCTCCCCTAATTATATTGGATAATCACATTTATGCGTGCGCGCGCAGCTCATCCAATGAACGAAACGCCACTTCCCGCTGAAATCACCGGGTATTGATCTTTCCCTTGATTCAGGCGCATCACAGTCCACTGAAGCAAAGAATGATGGAGGGAAACGAATGTGTAAAGGTTTGGACAATTGCTTTTGAAAAATAACCATCGTTTGAATTTATTCCTGCATCCAAAAAAAACTAACTTAAATTCACTTGTATGTCTATTGAACATTTTCACATGCATGAGTTTTGAGCAGGCAATACTGGTGTTTTTTAATTTTTTCAAAAATAAAAATAACTTGACGATATCTATATCATTATTGTTGTAGCTAGCACAGAAGCCGCAATCAGAGACCAAGTACATACTTTTACATGTTTTAGTGATATCCCAGATGTCGCTCTTATACATGTGTTCCAGTACCTCCCAGTCTGTGACCTCATAAACATTCTCACTGTCTGCAAGAGATGGAATGAACTTATTGAACCAAGTGATTACCTTTGGCGTAAGTTTATTCCAAATAACTTTGACCTGCCTGTCAATTGTGCCAAGGGGTTTCTTAGATCTTTATGGGAAAGGAGCATAAAGATTGGCAAGGAGAGATGGTTACCAGATGTATCAAAAGCTTTCGTAGCCCGAATGAGAGAAATGGGTATATGTAGTCAATGGGGTTCAGGAGGCTTTGAACCAATCCCGGCAGGTGCAACATTGTACCAGAGACTCAACCCTACATATGACTTTATTGAGAAAGTGGGACACCCGACTAAAACAGAGCTACTTGGTGTTATGAAACAAATATGGGAAAAGTTTAATAAAGGACGACCATACTTCAGGACTGGTAAAGACTCATATTCCAATGTCCAGAAAGGTTATACTATAGTAAATGCGAAGAGTGCTATGGAAAAGTCATGCTCGATCTCTTACAGTGGCACGTTGAAAGTAAGTAGTGTTTATTACATGTATTAATGTGATTTAGTCTGGTTAACATACTAATTCTCATATTACCTCTTTTCATACACTGTAGATGAACATCTTGCTGACCTATTTTGTAATGTTAACACTCATAACCCGCAAAATTGTTTATCCTTACGCATTGCAAAAAGTTTTACAGAACACATTCACCGTGAATACTCTTGAGCCGAAGTTATATACTATATATCTGTTTGATTGAATTGAAACTCTCTTTTAGCTTAATAAAACTCCTTGTTCTACTTCAGTTCATTCAGGGTATTGTGGAGCCATGGTATGCAACAGGGGGATTTGACATAGAACAGAGAGATCTTGATGGCTTTTCACACCTTCCAGATATAACAGGTACCATCCTTTATACTAATTTATGTAACCACTTCTCGTAAATGTGTGTTGTGGATGGGTTTATAAGATCTCATCCAGGATTTCTGAAAAACTGACTCAAGTTGAAAGAATTAGTGGATTAGCCTCAAGGTCAAATGTCAAGGTCATACGATTATTTTGAGCCACAGATCGCATTTCATCGTAACTATGGAACGAGTCTGTGCATTTTGAAATTATTTTTTAACAAGGCATGAACATGACAAAATGTCACCACCTAGCTGCTCACAATTTTTTAAGTCAGATTTGAATTTCTGAGAACTTGTAGATGATTTAAAAAAAAAAAATTGGTCAATTTGAACAAATTGAAAAGGTTTTTTTACCCTGAGGAGGTAAGGTCATTGAAAGGGAAATCTCAAATCTAAAGTTAGATTTGAACTTCTGAGAACTTGTCGATGATTTTGGAAAACAATTGGTTGATTCGAAGCAAGTTGAAAAATACCTTTTGACATTGAGAAAGTCATTCAAGATCAAATCTTATTTGACCTTTGGAAGGTCATTTAAGGTCAAATCTTTAGGCAGATTTGAACTTTTAAGAACTTGTAGATGATTTTGAAATAAATTGGACAATTTGAAGCAAGTTGAAAAAAATACTTTTTGACCTTTTTTTAACCTTTTTGACTTTGAAAAGGTCATTGAAGGTCAAATCTTAAATACAAAGTCGGATTTGAACTTTTGAAATCTTGTAGATGATTTTGAAAAAAACTGAAGTCAGTATAAAGAGTATTAATTTTGTTAAGCTATTGGAAGTTGTTAGAATTCGTTACATTTGGACGCCAACCGCCACCGCCGAGCGCCAACCACCAACCGCCGCCGATCGCCAACGGCCGTCACAAAAAGCAGAGACCATAACAATATGTCACCACTTTTTGGTGGTGACATAAAAATTAATCTAATATCAGAGTCTCTGGCATGAGTGATAAAATCAATTATTAGAGAAAAATGGTGATGGTGAATGGTGGAGCATGCAATAGACTAGATTCGGTTATAAACGGAATTATTACACCAAAAGTAGTGCGAAATGGCCTTTTCAAGTTTTGATGACATTTAAAGACATAGTTCCTCTTTCACGTATATTATCTCATGGAAATGGGCATACCAGCGCAAAGATCTTTGTTCCGTGGTGAAGAAAAGCCATCAAACATTGCCTGAAGAGCAGATTTATCTCCGTAATTCTACTTTTAACATGGCGACCTTGACCTTGAAAAAATATAGCCATTTGGGCGATAATAGGTGATTCAAAAGTGAAAATGAGTGCTTTTTCGTAGTTTTACTTTGACCAAGGCTAGAAAAAAATCGAAGTGGTAAACCTACCCCCAATTTTTGATATTTTCGTTGTCTAGAAGTGTCCTAGATGAAATCAAAGTTTAAGAAAATTTGTATGTCTAGAAATATTTTATAAATTAGTGCCAATATGGTGGGTTTGGGTGTTTTTTTGCTCTCATTTTTTACCCCATTTCTACGGTTGTCATGGCAACTATAAGGCTTTGGTAACTATGCCAACATGATTTTTGAAGGACATCCACCTGATAGTAGTTGGGCCAAGTTTGATGGAAAATGGGCATGGTTTGATATGCTGCAGGGCTGTCAACTTGGGACCACCTAATATGAGTGACTTCAAAATGTTGGACACCTTTAGAGTATGCCAGCTCGGCATGGGATCCGTACCGACAAAAAGATATTGATATGTTGGAACAGGTACAGAGAAGAGCAGCCAGGTTTGTAACCAAATGTCACTCAAGGGAACCAGGCTGCGTCACCAAAGCTCTTCAAGACCTACAGTGGGAGCCACTGAAGGAGCGTCGAGAGGCTGCTAGAGTTTTCCTTTTCTACAAAGGAAAGCAGAACCTAGCAGCCATCGACGTGCCTCCATACTTCCGCCAACAGATCAATACCAACACTAGGTTGTATCATCCTTCTAAGTTCATACAACCATCAACTAGAACGGATGCATACAAATTTAGCTATTTCCCTAGGACAATAGCTAAATGGAACACTCTACCTGGTGACATCTTAGACTGTGACAGTCTAAGTAGTTTTAAATCATCATACTATGCCTATGTCAATAACTGCAATTAAATAGGTGTGTTTTTAATATAGATCTATGTTTTAATGTAAAGGGTCCCCAGTGCACAGCAACAAGCCTGCACTACTGGTAAAGAGGGGTGATGTCAACGCGGTTAGCCTGACAGTCTCCCCAGGTAAAATGAGTTGTAAACCATAGATCTATTTTTAAATGTTAAGGTTTTAAATTATATTCTATTCAAATTCTATCACTGTTAAATTATATATCTGCTTTATATGGGCTTATTAGCCTTTTGCGGATTATTGACATAGACATAGACATAGACTAAGTCCAAATCTGAACACTTTTGTCCAAATTTTGAACACCTTTGGCCAACTTTTAAACACCTTTGGCCAAAGTTTGAGCACCTTTGCCAAACTTTGAACACCTCAAATTTTTCGCGCTCGCTGCGCTCGCGTTGTCGTCAACGGGGGGGGGGGGGGGGGGGGGGGGGGGGGGTAGGTACGAAAAATTTCCAATGAACATGCGTGACACATACGGGATTCGCGTGACAAATCCGAACAAATTGCGTTCGTTTTTTTCCGGCGTTCGTATTTTTACCGTATCGTAAACATATTTCGAAAAAATTTCTACAGAAATATTTTTGCTTGACAATTACCAGGTAAAATGCGTATTTTGCGTGACATTTTCTGTCACGCAAAAAAAACTGGCGTGACTTCAAATTCTTCAGCAAATGCGTGACAAATACGCAAATTGCGGGACAGTTGACAGGCCTGATGCTGGCAGTGAGGTTGATTGTGGCATGTAGTAAAACGGCAAAACAATGGTGGAGTCATACCAAATGATCTTGATTTACGTCATTAAATATTCAAAATTCAGTTAAAGTGATGTCATATTTGAAATAAACATGTAAAAATACACCAAGAGACATTGTTTCGAAAATTGTTTATCAACTTTGAAAATTTAATTCTTATTTTAAATGTGACTTCTAGTTCGGGGAGATTTCATGTGAATATAGGCGCGCAGTTTGACAAGAAAAATGTTTAAATCACGTTTATGGCGTATTCACGCGGTACAAACTTCGACCGTTAATTTGAATTTTTGACCTACCGGATGTTTGAAAATCAAGGATTACGAGTCTCGTACTGCACCGTTTTTCTTCAAACTTGTTCCATTCAAAGCATAACAAAAATCCCTTTCTGTTAGTACATTATTCTCTTAAACAGAGTCCCTACTTCCAGTGGCATTTTGATCCCCAGCTGTAAGAAGGCCTTCTAACAGCTGGGGACCAAAACGCTGCTAGAACGAGGGACTCTTTACAATAAAGTAATGCACCGACAGAAAGGCAATTTTGTTTTGCTTTTAATGGTATACGTTTGAAGAAAAACGGTGTAGTATGAGACTCGCAATCCTTGATTTTCGAGCATCTGGTAGGCCAAAAATTCAAATTAATGGTCGAAGTTTGTACCGCGTGGTATTATCGTTTTGAACGCAAACTATGCTGCTTTAATCAGATGGAGTGACCCTATATATTCTAGCATACACAGATACAATGGCTGAATAAACGTCACATGACGATAAAAAGACATAGATATAACTTTACACTGTAAATTTTGAACGCAGAAGCAACTTAAGACCCTTATATTGAGATAACTAGGTTTACATCGGGAACAACATTGAGTACTATGAGTAAATTAAGTTCATCTTCACATAATGGTACTTTAGAACGAGACTAACCTTGAATTTTTCGTATTTTGGCTTTTTTGGGAGTCGTGTCCTCCCTGTCTTTCATTTTGAAATATGCGCGCAGTTTGTCAGAGTTTCAAACTGCGTGCCTAGTAGGCGCGCAGATTGCCATGGGCACCTTCGAGATCAGTTCAATCTCCCCTATTCCGTTTAAATGATTTCCCCCTTTCAATTCAAGTTGATTTACCTTCTTCAAAGGAGGGCGAGTTGTTTGTAGAATGAATTGGGGGATTTTTTTTCATGAATTTCGCTTATGTTTTCCATCCGAAAAACATCAATACACTTTAAAACATTTTGTTTACTTTAAGATTACACCATGTAATCCAAAAATATATTGCTCATTTTCAAAGATAATCCATGGATTAACACCCAGGTATTTTTATTTTTCAATCTTCAGAGGGCTGGGAATCAATGATGCTCAACGCTTTTGAATATGATAAATGCTGTTTTAAATAGGTTTTACGTATGCCAATAATTTCTCAAATTATGTAAGCTGAATGCATTCCTTAATCCCTAGATTGTGTAATCTACATGGTGTAATCTTAAAGTAAACAAAATGTTTTAAAGTGTATTGATGTTTTTTGGATGAAAAACATAAGCGAAATTCATGAAAAAGATCCCCCGATTCATTCTACAAACAACTCGCCCTCCTTTATGGCTAATACATTTTAGTTGATTTTCCCCATTCATTTATTGTTCATTTTTTGTTGATTTTCCCCTTTTTAATTTTAGCCGATTCTCCCCTACCCTATAATATCGAAGTCAGTGACGATGAAGACTATGAAGATGCGCGGATGTTACAGAAGCACTACAAACCGCCGATGTTGTCCTTGTACAAAGAGACCATGGGGATTTTATTTGGAGATGAAGACACAAAGGAGGCCAAGAAGTTTTACATCAACCCTGAATGCTGCAATGAGAATCTATATGGGTATTCGTATACACTCCTCATTGGACCTTATGGAGTCTTGTATGAAATGAATCAAGCTTCTCCGATTTATAATCATGTTTAATACGATATGATATGATATTATGGTATGATATATGATATATCCATATTAAAAACACATATAATGGACTAGTTGTTCAAAAGGCAATATTTGATAATGATTTTATTGTTTATGATCATTACTTTTTACTTGTTTGATTTAGATTTAGAGACTCTCAAACAATCAATGTTTGGAATCTTATATCCAAGCCACGTATTCCTTTGGCTGCACGACGCCGTACATACGGTCCATATTTTGAATTATACCCCGCATATGGCGTTATCCGGGACGTACGATGGCTTTACATCCCGCCCCGGGAATTCCCGTCACAACTATTTCAGCAATGAACTAAACAAAAGACAAAGGTGGAAGACGAACATAGTGAACACAATTTAGAAAACAAATAACGTGAATCAATTCTTAGTTAACACAGAAAACGAACACATCGCAAAGAAACTCGTCTTGGTGTTCAAGTTAGCAAGTTACATCAGCATATCGGCATATGGGAGGGCCCAAAGGGACCAAGGGAAGATATATTGTATATCCCAAGGGATATTTCCTGTATCAAAACCGACCGTGAATTACTGTTGTATTCCATACCTGAAGCATGTCTCCCATATGCTGATGTGTAACTAACTTAATTATATATAGTAACATATACAATAATATGATTCAGAATACTGTGTCAATTTTTTATTTCTTGATCAAAAATATATACAAAATATACAACATGTCTCAATCTAAGACACCACATGGGCATATAAAAGAAGCATGCTCTTAAAAAGATGCTTTTTAAATAGAAAATAGACCAATCACATTACTATACAATGCTGTTACAATTTTATTCTTAACACAAAGATGATCGTCTAGGCGTCAAATAACAATGAAATTTTTGCGAGATGTAAGAAATAAAGATCTAATATTATAGAAATTATGAAAAATTCTGCAATTTAAAAAGCTGTTTTTGAAGTAATGCGTCACAATTCTTGCTTACAGAAAAATGTAATGAAAACTTGCATTGTTTGATTTGAAATTGTACATGAACAGAAATGTCTCGAATGTTCACAATGTACACTCATTTCATATCTGATTTTTTAAATAGAATATATGTGAGTGTCCCATCTTTATTTTCCCAGCCTGTATAAATCAAATTAACTGCACATAGTCTAAAAGACGCAAATGTAAATTTGTAGAGACAAATGTACATAGTTGATGCCTCAGGATGCTGTTGATATTAGATAAACTTAAAGGACTTGGAGCTATAAATGAATGAGCAGTCCGGATTTGTAACGTTTCTTTTCATTGAATTAGATTTTTAATGCCATCTGATATGACATTGCAGATGGCAAGATGCATGTGATCATGAATATACTTTGTTTGGCAGAGTGACGTGACGTGCTTGTTGAAACAAGATATCATCTAGAGTCATCTGTCATAAGACTAAAAGGAAGTTTCGATTTCAACATCTCATATCCACTTTTTAGTATTTTCTATTATTTTCCCATTAAGATGTTTTCTATACTTCTCCGAATTTCCTGAGATCTGATTCCAGTCGAATTCTAAATAACCTCCAGAAAAGATAAAGTACGCGTTATGGTTTCTTTCACACATTATTTTCAAATAGAAATTTAAAAAAGGTCGCTCACAATGTTTTTGACTAACGTTTTTTCTCGTCAACAAGAAGAGCCTGTGACGCTGGCCCGTCCAAAAGAGCGGCATATGAAATTGCTGCAGCTGGTATCATACCCGGAACATTAAACACATCCCGGGCGCCGGGGAATAAAACGCCGTCAAGTTTAACCTGGAACACATCATGCATACCGGCCACTGAGTTCACTCCTGGGACTTTATTCAACACCCTGCTTACTATACCTCCCTCATTGAACCAACCCGTTGGATCGATTGTCTTATGCCCCTGTGTTCCAATGTTATTTGCCCCTGGTATTGGCATTTGATTGTCAGTTTTGACTTGTGCAGGTCCGCCTGGTTTCCAAGTTGAATCATATTCTACAACTGTGTTGTATAAATAATGCGCAGAAGCGGTTATACCAGCCATTAGGAACCCGTCTTTAAATTCACCTCCACTCAACTCTGTAGCAACTCCGCCACCTATTGCCTGGGTTGCCACTCTTTCTAAGTTCCAGGCACTACCAAAGTAGCCTCCCAAACCACCTGATACGGCTCCACCAAGAGCGCCTTGCAGACCGCCTTTAACAGACCCCGATCCTATTGTTCCACCAACAAACCCAGATGCTGCCCCAGCAAGTGCTCCACTCGCTACTGTAGCAGCAACTCCCGTCAACCCTGTTGTGGCGACTAATCCAGCAGCTAATGGAGCAGCCGCCCCAAATGTAACTACAGTTGCAGCCACAGCAACAATGGGTCTCCAGTACTTTTTGAATAAGCGCCCAATTTTCTTGAAGAAATATCCACTGGGATCTTTATGTTTTAGTGGATTATTAAGCGTATAGCTATATCGGTTGTAACTCTGTGTGTTGTATGGGTCTTGGACATGTGGGTCTGGACTGAGGAAGCGTCCTACGACAGGATCATAAATTCTCCCATTCATATGAATAAGATCCAATTCTTCAATATGCTCGTGTCCTGTAAATCCACGATTGGTGTGTGTGGATCCCGACTGTGCAGACACGCCACAATCTCTGAAGTCAGCCCAAGAATCTGACCGTCGTTGCCCATACGCGTTGTATCTCAACGATTCTATTATATCACCATTTGCATTTGTAACAGTGTCAACAGAATCTAGATGGTCCCCATGCAGATATTTTACGGTAGCAGAGGGATCATTTCTCTTCTTTGACTCAATAGCAACAAGTCTACCAAGAGCATATATATAATATTTATGTGTGATTTGATCGGTCTGTGTTTCTGGCACGACGTTACGATGACTAGTGGACCGTTCATATAACTTCCCTATGTAGACGACAGTCTCTGCAGAAGTTACTTTTTTGAACCGTGAATGATGGGCATCATATTCAAATTCAACGTGGTTACTTGATTTTGTATCCATTGTTTTAGGTTTGTTGAAAGAGGTCCAACTAACATGCTGATTGTTCTTTTGAATCATATTGCCGTTGAGGTCGTATTTGTATGTGTTAGGACCTGCTTTAGTAACTGCATGTGGCTGAGCTGCACTATACTGATAGTGAAGTCCACCAAATCCACTATATCTTCTCAAATTGCCAATACTATCATATTCCCAGTCCTCTGTTAGGGTGATATCCTTTGTTGGATCCAAGTGTTTGATAGTAGCCCTCGTTATTCTGTCCAGTGCATCATAGGAGAACGTTTCCATAGTATTCATGCCATCTGACAAGTCCTTTCTGCTTATCATATTGCCAGTAGAATCGTACGTATATTCCCAATCTCGTTTTAATCGTTTAGAGACATCCCATGTCTTTATGGATCTAAGGTAGTTACTATCATCGAATTCATATCCCGTAAGGAGTGAGTTCCCATATTGTTCCTTCGATATGTGACCAAATGAGTCATAGTCGAGGCCTCTCCAGTAAAATGATGCCGTGCTGGGTGTTAAATCACAACTGGTGCTTCTGACCTCTGTCAGAAAACCATTATCGTCATAACAATAATGCACCTCCTTATCTTCAGGCATTGTTTGTTTATAAAGCTTGCCAAGTGCGTTGTATTCTGACTTTATTTCAAACATTTCCCCATCAATTGTTTGCTTCACTACCGCCTCTCTCCCCTTAGTATCATACATGTACTCCATGATGTGCCCATTTGGTGACTGAGTCTTTGACAGCTTTCCTTTACTTTTAGGACCTTGGTCATATATCCATTCTGTTTTCCCTTCAGGTTCATTTGTTTCTATCAACCTTCCAAGTTGGTCGTAACTGTAGAATATTTCATTTCCGACAGCATCCTTCTGCCATAGTTTTTCTGAATATGCATTGTACGTGTACTGCCAATGTCCCATATCAGGATCAATTATGGATAGTTTGTTACCGAATTGATCATATGTCATTTCTGTGATATGGCCTGCTGGGTCAGTTGTCTTCAAAAGGTTACCAACTGCATCATAGTCATATTTTACACTGCCATTAAGAGCGTCTGTTACTCTGATAACTCGACCAATAGCATCCCTTTCAGTGGTTTTCGAATGTCCATTTGCGTCGATGATTTCCATAACTAGACCTTTATACACCGTCTTTTTTATAGCATTCTGGACACCCTCCATTGGTCGTTCTTCAATGGTCTCTCTGCCAAATTTATCATACTGAAATTTAACCCAAGATGGTTGAGCGTCTTTGTTAAAGTAGGGCAAACTTTGTTGTTTAACATGACCAAACTGGCTGTACTCTATGTCTTCATATATATCTCTCTGACCAAACCCAGTAGATATGATACGTATTGGTCTTTCAAATGAATCATACATTTTGATCGTATCTTGTGCTCCCGTCCTTGTTATATTTTCCATATATGAAGCACCATGGGTTGTTGATTCCCTAACAGTGGACACATACCATCTTGTTTCTGTACCATCTGGTCTTGATTCATATATTTTCCTGTCAAATTCATCATATGAATACCGTGTTATTAAACCATTTGCACCGGTTAAAGTTGCCAGATTACCATTGATGTCATAAGTATACACCTCCGCGTGGTTAAGATTGTTTCTGCTGGATAAAAGCCTATTCCCATTTGAATCATATGTTAAAAATACACTTCGTGATGATGGTAGGACAGTCGATGAACTAGAAGAAGCAGACCTTGGAAATATTGGTGTTTTGTGTTTTGCAACGACAATGCCATAATTATCATAAATATATGAAGTATTGAGGCCCAGGTGGTGTTCAGGCTCTCTTAGTTCATACATCAACTTTCTTGTTGATCGGTTGTAGTAATATGTAGAACGCCGAGTTTTTGAGTTTGATCCACTGCCGTATGTTACCACGATAGCATCAAGTTCTCCAATATACCATGAGTTTATGTTATTAGAGTAGTTGTTAACAGTCATCTGCATGAAGGTTTGTCCATTTCCAAATGTTTCCTTTTTCATATGAATGATATTACCATACTTGTCGAATTGATCAACTGAGAGGGTCTCTGATTTAATAACACCTCCATTTGTATCGTAATGTTTCACTACGTCATTTGTCATGTGAATTTTCTTTATCCTCCCACCTGTTGATGTATAGGATTTATCACTTTGAAGAATACGTAGTCCTCCGTGCTCTTTTTTGATGGATTTGATTAATGTCGTTAAAGGAAATGTCTGGTGATACATTGTCGTTGAAGACTCCTCGCTCTCAACTAATGTTTCAGATCTCTCTTCAAACCCCAATGAGCCACGGCCTTGTATGTTCATCCTCATGCCTTTGTACGTGAATTGTGTAGTGTTTAAGCCTCCGATTCCATTAGATTGTTCAAATTGTTTAACTACTGTTTGCCCCGAATTGACCTTTGGATCTGGATATTGGGTTGTTTCCCCACGGGTGTAGATAGCTTTATCGGCCAATGATGAATATGTTATGCGTTTTGTATTGCCAAAACTATCAGTTATCGAGGTCATCAACGTTGCTTTGTTGTTATTAGTTGATATGTACACACCACCACTAGCAAAACCAACAATGTCTGAGATGCCATCTCCCGTTACATCAACAAGGTATCTAGGGTGATTGGACACTGACCATCCTCCTGTTCCGCTCCCATACTGAGCCACCCATGTCTTGGGTGGAGCGAACTTCGAGCCTGTGTTCAACGCCACCATTACTCCAGACGAAGCGATTCCAACAACATCGGGAAGCCCATCTCCATTCATATCGTGAATATATCTCGGATTGGAGGCTACTCTCCATGTGTTTGATTGTCCAAACCCAGAGATCCACGTTTTTGAAGGCAAAAAACCTGAGCCTGTACTAAGTGATACTTCTACTCCACAACAAGAATACCCAACAATATCAGCCAATCCGTCACCATTGACATCGATCACAAATCTTGGGTGCTGATTTGTTCGCCAGCCCTGACTGTGTCCAAATATACCACTTCCCCAGACCGTGGCTTCAGCAAAGGATGAACCAGTGTTGAGAGATACGTAGACACCTCCACTAGCCATGCCAACAATATCTGGAAGTCCGTCTCCGTTTACATCTTCGAGGTATCTAGGATGATTAGCTACACTCCAACCACCACTGGAGGTACCGTATGCTGCTATCCACTGCCGTGATGGTTGGAATGTGGAACCTGTCCCGAGGGACACGTGCACTCCACCACTTGCAAACCCAACTATGTCAGGCAATCCATCGCCGTTTACATCCTTCACAAATCTTGGATGGCTTTCAACTCGCCAACCACCCGCAGAATATCCAAATTGCGCCAACCATAGCCTAGGAGCCGTAAATGATTCCGACCCAGTGTTGATTGATACGTAGACCCCGCCACTTGCGAAGCCGACGATGTCCGGGAGTTGGTCACCATTGACATCAACAATATGTCGAGGATGATTACCGTTCCAACCTCCACTACCTATACCAAAAGAGTTAACCCAGTACTTAGCTGCTTGGAATGATCCGTTCTGGTTGAGTGCTACCATAACACCTGCATTTGCAATACCAACAACATCCACCAGACCATCATCGTTCATATCCACCATCCACCTTGGATGGTTTGTCACCTGCCAGCCACCAGTCCCAGTTCCGAATTGATTTATCCAATACCCAGGTGTGTTTGTACTTTCAATGTCTGATACACCTTGGAACGCAAACTGAACTGGTTTCTGACATTTTCCATTTCTACCACAAAGTTGAATGCTTGACACGATACTTTGTTTCGATTCTTTCGCCTCGTTATACGTTATTTTCATCTCTCTCTGTAGGTGTCCAGCAACGAGAGTTCTGATAGTCTTAAGACGTTTGTTCTGAGTTTGAAAAACACCACCATTGAAGTAAGAAATGGACACATCTCCACGAGCTTCATAGTCTAAGACGATTAGAATGTCTTTATAGGTAACATTAGCAAGAAGATATCCATTTGTACTATCGACGTATGCAATATTGACGACATTGTTTGTATAATCACTGACTGAATCCAGTTTCCACGCGTGAACGTTGTTTTGTCCAGGTGCCATCACTAGTGACGTCTGTATTCTCCCATATGTTAATTTCCGATTGTTTTTAGTTCTAACTTCAAATCCTTGAGAACCGCGGTTGTAGATTCTTGAGAATGAGTCGATTTCAGTACTATAGGTGGAGCCATCTGTTCCATAGATTCCTGTTGTTAGCTCAAGTCTAGATCCATCTAAACAGTACTTGTCGCCATTATCATATTTGACACGACCTTTGCGACCATCCTGTGCCCATGTTATAGCACACCTGGAATTGAATATATAATTATAAATTTATATTTTATGAATTATTATATATTTATTATTTTTTGCGTTTATAATGATGCAATGGAGTGGTCCGTTGAATCCATCATCCGTGTTGTGCAATTATGCACAAATAGTGAAATGTGTGGATTTTTTCACAAAGTGTGCTTTTGATAGGCAAATAAGCTGAATTGGGTTTCAAAACAGAATATGTCATAAATTATGCTGCCTTTTAGATTGCATGCTTCACAGTTCAGATTTGTTTTTCAACGATAAATAGAAATGCCTTTAAAAATGTAAATGTAATATTGCTTTCCAGGGTAACGTGAAGAATAGCCAAAAAGTATGATGATAAGTATTGTAAGTTCCAAAATGAAAAAAAACTTCTCGCACAATTTTCAATTTCTACATGAATGATTTTTTAAGCTTCAATAATTACAACAAATACGGTTTATATCCCATGGATTATCGATTCTGTACGTTACATATTCTTAATTTCTTATGAATTAAAAATGTTATGGTCACTTTTAGGGTGAGAATTACAGCAACTACCCCTTTGATCGTTTTGTGTCAAAATATTATTTTCAACCAAATACACACGCCCTGTGATCGGAAGAAATGAACGGGGGGGGGGGGGAGTAGCCGATTTTGCCAGAAAACTCAACAAATCTGGAAGAATTATTTTTTCAAGAGAAAGTTTACAATGATTGAATTGCAAAATGAATAGGTGTACGGCATGCGGAAATATGTTAAGTCTTATAGGATTTGTTTTAACTGATAGGCTTCTAAGAAATCTATTAGAAAGGCGCGCGTCACCAACTTCCAAATGCCAATTCTTTTGCTATAAATCAAGCAATAATGGTCTACACGACCTGATACAAGAATGAAACAAACACCAATGTCAATATTCAAAAATAATTAATAATTAATAATATTCAAAAAGCAAATATTGATGTAGTAAAATGGATATAAAACTAAAGAAAATCGAGCTTTATAACTAGCTTATTTATCTTTTCTACGAAGCGTAATTTAAAAACGTTTATAGAGGTAATTTACTGGGAGGGATTCAATAATTAATATGGGTTTTATTCCGAGGGATAATACGATATTTCCCGATGGCGTCAAAATCATTAGTCAGTAGTCATTACTTGTGTAGAGCTTATTGATATACTAGTAAACAAGTTCTACATTAGGGCTGCATGTAGTTCTTTGGAAAGAGGGTCATAAATCTTCTTAGAAGTGTTTACCTGATAAGTCGAATGAAACGATTAAAAACAAAATGTAAATTTTCAAATATACAAATGATTAACTTCATATCATCAAATCAATTGGCCCTTTTCCAAATCAATGGAAAAATAGATAGCATCGTGGGTGTTGGACTTTTTTGGTAGGGCTAGAATATATGCCAGCCTATAGCAAGAGTCATTTAATTTCTTGATTTAACAAGTAATTCCATTTGGATCAACTTAAAACACCATCAGAATCTAACTATATGACCCTATTTACGTGTGGATTGTGATTTCACATTAAAAAATCGGATCCCTTTAAGAGTAAATGAACTTTTAAATGTATTTCAACATTGTGTCAATGGGGATTTAGCCCGACCCTTTTTTAGAAAACTTGAAAATCTTTAGAATTTGAATAAAGGTAAATAACTGTACATATCAAAGTTGTTTTGATAGAAAATTGCCCACAGAATTAAAATATGCCATCAAATAGAAGCAAATGTTAGTCTTTATGGTTAAAAATGCATATCTCCTAAAATCTCATTAAAAACGAGACTTTAAGAGATTTCAATATATGAAAAATACTCTATAAAACAAAGAGCGGGTTTGTGTACAAATGAAAAGGTAAAAATAGAGACACGGCATCTTACCTAGAAATTTGAGACAACCCGTTTATTGTCCAACCCAGTCCCATGGGACCGTTACTTGATCCACTGTCGTATTCTAGGTCCAAATCTAGTAAATGGCGAGGAAATCCTTTGGGTGGCTCAATTGGAACTTTATACTTCGCTTGTCCCTGTTCGACGTTAAATTCACTTGGCATGTTTCCTACTTCATAACTCGAGGCCAGGTATAGGCGGATCATCACGACCGTCAGCAGCTGGGCAGTACTGCCTATCGCCATGGTTACTAGAATAGTATTTCCAACTACAAAAGAAATTATTTCAATTTACTAGAACAGTAAAATGACTCCCTATGCTAAATATACTGGCGGCCAGACACGTTGGGCTATACGTGTCCTTAAATCTGTTACAATTACGCTCAAGTTAAATAGAATGTCAAATGATCAATGTCTACTTTTGTTGGCTTTGTATTGACTTTTTATTATAATATTTCCGTAATAGTATATACTCACCAGTTATTTCCAATCTGCCTGGAACTGATGCGATTGAATCTTTTTGTATGTAGCTGTGCAAATTGAACTGAATTCAGAATATAATATAATTCTTTACTCATTGGTAATTTTGGAACTAATGGTAATTGTATCCTGGTGTCTGTTTATATACCACTTACATTGTAATAGTCTCTTCGATGAGTCACCTCCTCTAACAGAATTCTCAATAAGGAAGTTTAAAGGTTCTTATTTGTTCCGAGATGCCTATTGAATTCGGACAATATGGGAATTCCAGAATTATTCATATTTTCTTTTGTATGGCCATGGACTCACGGGTTATCGAATTGCAAGTTGTCATTCATTCACTTTTGTTAGTTTTAAGGTATTTATTTCAATCTGAGCAGTAAAATGGTTTTCTGAACATGTCTCAGACTCAACAGATTTAACCAAAGTGAGGTAACCAATACAGATGGGAAGAAGGACATCCAGGTAACTATAATTGCAAAAGGACAAAATTATTACATAAATCCCAACTGACCAACGAGAGAGCAAAATGTAAAAATATGCCCTTAAACAGTCATCGTCAATATTGTGTTACATGCTAAGGTTATCGCGTGTCTCTAATAAGGAAGTTTAGAAGTTGTTCACTGATATCCTATTATCTTAAGTATTTTGTAGCTAGAGTATTCACCCTGGTATAGCATGACGGTTACGCCACCTCTGAAAACGAGGTTTGACTGCTACGTTCACTGATTTATCCAATAAAATGGCCGCGATGGAACAAAAAGCTAAGGTTGGTGCATTATTTTCTACTACTGTGTATCAATGGAAGCATGAACGATTTATGTAAGCATCGCATTCGGTGATGCATTCAGTAATGTACATTTTGAACGTAGTCTTTGCAAATTGATGCCCGGGGATAACATGAAATAAGCGAAAACTGTCGAGTTTGAAATTCAAAACTACATAAAATTTATTTATTTGTTTATTTTTCTCGTTAGGGCATGGTCTACATTGCCTAACAACCTTGGTGTTTAGAGATGTAACCTACATACGATCATCCAAAGTCAATTAAAGATGCAGTATGCCATAGGTTTTTTCCCAGACAAGCAATGATGACCCATTGTTATTGGACATATAATATCTCACATACCATGGATATGTCTTTAGAATAGCTTATTTAGAATAGCTTATTTGTATATTATTGCCGAAATATTGATATAATCAACCAGAACAACCAAACTCCTGAATTTAACACAATCGATTCATCGGGTAGCGAAGGGAATCCCCGTTGAGTCGCACAAGCGCCAACACGCGCCTTGAACCAGGCAGCCAATCAGGTTCATGATAAACAAATTCAAAGACCAGTCAGATAACAGGGGGATTTTCACGGTATATTCAAACTTTAGATTGAATTAATTTCCGCGAAAGTAATTAGATCGGTCAGCACAATTGCAAAATAAACACTGAAAGCGGGGGATTTGGGACTACTTCGTTGGTAAAAAGATTGGTAAATATGTGGTGAAATTCAATATGCAAAAATATCTAGAGGGGTCTTGATTGTGATATCCTACGGCATAGAGCCTCTTCAAGCATTGGAAACCACCTAATATGTTCTACTCAAGCCATAATAATGTATTTTGAATTTGCGGCAATGCAAAAAATCGAAGGACGGTTACGCGAATCTCGTTCAAATATGAAACCCCGATTCATTTCATATCGCTTGTGATCCAAAATTGAAATGTTGCTATATATTTTTCAACCAGATTTGATTTGAGTCCTGAAAACAAATATAGGCAATTCAATATTCCATGTCTTACCAGTTATTACAATAACATGGAAAGAGGCTATCAGAACTAGCAATCTTGACTTGTCAGGTATACATGCACGTAACAGTCTGCTAAATATCTAATGTACAACTAATACAATATGTTACCGTCCATAAAAATCATGCAATTAATGCGAAGTCGTCTAACGACCTTGCGATTGAAACCTTGTTATTAACATTACATGTATACACCACATTCCTGTTCTGAATTTGTCATTTTATGGCTGCATTATACAAAGCACTTTACTTACAGTTAGTATTTTGAGTGGGTCTGAGGCACATATTCTGAGAAAAAACGAGAGTGGACTAGAAACTATGAACTTGAATATCTTAGCCGGTAGGTTTACAACTTATATTCTGCTTCTTGAAGACATCACAGCAGATTTAACTCAGTCTTTATAATCATCCATATATACGTCACCGAATGGAACCTGTTTAAAAGGAAATCTTACCTGTGAATCTAGCCTACTGGCAAGAAAGAGGACATGCTGTCTTTCCCATCCGCCATTTTTTGTGATCGCTACAGCAAAATTTGCAAATCGCCTTGACGTAACCGTAATGCTATAACAGGGTGGTATTAGGATGTATTTGGTAGTTCCAAATGACAGCTGTAGCTGTAATGAGACTACTTGTCAATAAATGATTCTGTTAAAAACAGTTTACACATAACAACACCATTTTTGGATATGAATTGTAATTCGTGTTTTATGTCAAAGTATAATTTGGTATTTTCAGGAAACGCAAAATGTATGTTTTGAACTTTGAAGTATTTTTGATAAACATTTGATAAACACTTAACTACAAGAGTTCCTTAATGTCTCACTAAAGAACAGTAATACAAAACAATAGATCAGTGTTCGGCACGTCTTTGAAAACGTCCATTCTATTTTGGATGCAAGTAATCACAGTCACAGTCACTAATACTATTTTCAAAATTTGCCTCTCGTTGACTAGCGTATCAAAGGACGTTAAACTGAATAATAAGGAGGTGCGTTACACTTGTTAAGAGAACCTGTGTGTGAGCGTGTAGAGAACCATAATTCTACACGTTCACGTTTAAGTTTTAAAAACACTCTTTTGTGAAATCGAGAAACGTGCATTTTGTATTCATTATTTCATACTTGTATCTCGTAAAAATAACTTAACTAATCCTTTTTGTTTACAGATCAAAATGTCATTTTGCAATTTATTCATCACTCCTTCCTTATTTGCTGTGTATTCATCCCATATTCATCTCATCCCAGATATTTTTCATTTTGATGAACCTTGTAATCAGTTTACAATATCATGCAAAATTCGATATTGTAATATTCAACAATTGCGGAACGCAGAAAAAGGCAAGGCAGTGCTAGTTTTACCTAGCAGAACTTTTAAACAATTTACAGGGAGCTAAAACAGGATTTTGCAGTAGGCCTAGACACACAGATGTCTATATACCATACGCGGAAGACTTGACGCTGTTGGTCTTTATAGAGATCTAAATATGAACTTCATCCTGATGCCGTACAATTAGGATGGATGTATGCGCAAGTGCCAACGAAAAAGTCCCTAATCACAGGGTTTGTACCAAATTAGACTTGAGAGTTGAACGCGCGGGGTAAGGTACATCACGAGGGGGATGAAATTTGAGCAAACTGATGTTTTCATCGTTTCAGAAATATCTAATCTAGTTTCTAGATATTTCTATCTGAAAATGTCTATAATAACATCCTAAACAGAGTCAGTGAACTTGACAGAGAATGTCATAGTTAAACCTTGAAACGATGAAAACATCAGTTTGCTCAAATGTCATCACCCTCGTGTTGTACCTTACCCCGCACGTTAACTGTCACGCTTAATTTGGTACAGCCCCTTTGCTAATATGCATGGTTACTGAACACAGAAAAAAATGAAAACATCTAAGAGTACATCAGTCATATACAAGGGAACAAAAACGTCAACTATCAAAAATCATAATCCAAGGTTAAAAGAAACAGTGTCTTATAACCCCCCCCCCCCAACCAAGGCGATTACGTTATTGATGCCATAATCAGAGGGAAACTGAAGTTGTTCTCGTTGTTAGATGTCCGCATCCTACGTCACCATAAACGAATCATTTAACAGACAGATTTAGTTGTGACGTATATAACTAATAACTATAGTTTTATGTTGCTAGGCGACGCATCAATTATTCTGTGGTTATGGTGACATATATAACGTCATAAACGTCTAACGCACTTTCGTTCAAACAGACAAGAAAAATATCAAAATGGCGGCGTTTTTAATGGGAAGAAGGGCGATTTTATCCCTTGGAGGTGCTGGGTCATTAGGATATCTTGCATACCGTGCCGACAAAGAGAGGGTACAAGCGCGCCTAGGAACGACTAATATTCATTTGAAGTACCCAGCTTCTGCAAATTTCCCTGAACTCAGCCAACACAACAACACAATGGCAAAATGTCTTACCCCTGCCATTTATGCTAAATTGAGGGATAAGGCTACTCCTAATGGTTGGACTCTCGATCAATGTATTCAAACAGGCGTTGACAATCCTGGTCACCCCTTCATTAAAACCGTTGGAATTGTTGCTGGTGACGAAGAATCATACGATACATTTGCGGATCTTTTCGACCCAATCATCGAAGATCGACATGGTGGATACACGAAAGATCAAATTCACCCTACAGATCTCGATGCATCGAAAATACGTGGAGGCAATTTTGATGAAAAGTACGTCTTGTCATCACGTGTACGTACGGGTCGTTGTATACGAGGTCTGAGCCTTCCACCTGCTACTTCAAGAGCTGAAAGACGTGAGGTCGAACGAGTTTGTATCGATGCACTCGGCTCTCTAGACGGACAATTCAAAGGTCAATATTATTCCCTTAGCAATATGACCGACGAGGAGCAAGAAAAGCTGATCAATGACCATTTCCTCTTTGATAAACCAGTCTCTCCGTTGCTCACGTGTGCAGGTATGGCAAGGGATTGGCCCGATGGTCGTGGTATTTGGCATAACACAAACAAAAATTTCTTAGTATGGGTAAACGAAGAGGATCATACGCGTGTTATCTCTATGGAAAAGGGAGGAAATATGCGTGCAGTTTTCCAACGATTTTGTGATGGACTTAATAAAGTAGAAGGAAGCATTAAGCGAAAAGGATGGGAGTTCATGCATAGTGATCATCTAGGGTACATCTTGACATGCCCTAGTAACCTCGGTACTGGCCTGAGAGCTGGTGTTCACGTCAAGCTTCCAAATGTAGGCAAGGATCCTCGCTTTGACGAAATCCTGGATTGCATGAAGCTACAGAAACGCGGTACCGGTGGTGTCGACACCCAATCCACAAATGGTATATTTGATATTTCAAACTCCGACAGACTTGGAGTGAGTGAAGTTGAGCTATGCCAGTTAGTAATAGATGGCGTGAATACCCTGGTCCAGATGGAACAGCGGCTAGAAAAGCGCAAGTCCATCGATGATCTACTTCCGGCTAGTATGCGTCCACAACGCAGAGGACGATTTTCATAAACATTAAATTCAAATTCAAATTCTAAACGCAGTAAAATACCAACAATCGAAACTAAAAGAAGACGAAATGACTTTTAAAGTTTTACAAACTGAGTGCAGTATTATCAGATTATCAGTATATTTATTCTATTTATTTATAACGTAAGACTGCTATCGTTTGCAAAAGTATCAAGGAAAATTAGTAAGCCTAATAAAATGATATAATCAATCAAGTTGCATTATTCTGTTTTACTGATTTTAGGCAGAACTTGATAGTTTAGGCTTTCAGACTATGAATATTTGCAGATTCAGAAAATCTAACCAAGAGCAAATACACCAAAAGTAAATTGACATGATCATGTCTGATACCTCCATTTTGTTTTCGCAAATACAATTGAATTTGAAAAAGTTAGACAATTTGATTTTCTATGTTAAGATAGTTTTTTGTGAATCTTTTACTGAATAGATATCCTGAAATCTGAAGGCAAGATCATGATTTTTTAAATATTACATTTTAGTATAGTAGGAACAAGGGGTTCCCATGCACCCATAAGGTGTGAATAAGTTACATACATTTTTGTAATCCCTAGGGTGTCTATTTAATGAATTCATTTGTTAACATTGCCAGCTAATGTCCCATAGTACTTTTATGGCGGCATTCAGTTACCATGGTTACGCATCTTTAGACATCTTACCTTGGTATCTTAAATCATTTGTAGCTCTGTCATTATTTGGTCTATAGAAATGATATTGGTACCAAATTGAATCCGTTAAATTTCCAATAAATTTATGATATTCAATTATGCAAATTATCTAATTTGCATAAATTATGACGTCATCAATCTATTTTTGGTTCAGAATTTCCAACTATAGCAACGTATCTATTAGAACTGAGGCCGTATGGCAAAATTTCTGAAAGGTTTTGTCCTTTATTCTATTAGTAGAAGCTATAAGCAACATAAAAGTGAAAACAGATTCAAAATTGAATCAGTATTACGAAAGTTATGTAACTTTCGAGGCAGCTATCGTGAATGTCATTATTTGACAATAATATACATACGTCTTACCTTGGAGTCTTGAATCAATGTAGCTTCGCCATTATTTGGTCTCTGATTATTGGTATCTGATTAAACCTTATTAAATTTACTATATGGTTACAATATTCAGTTATGCAAATTAGCTAATTTGCATTAATTGTGACGTCATCAATCCATTTTTGGTTCAGAATATCCTAGTATAGCAACATATCTATTAGAACTGAGGCCGTATGACAGAATGTGTGCATAGTTTTGTCCCTTATTTGATGAGTGGAAGATATAAGCAACATTAAAGAGACAACAAATCTTCAAAATTGGATCAGAATTAACAAAATTATCCAGCTTTGGAGGCAGCTACTGTGAACGTCATTGTTTGACAATTATAAAAAGAATATTAAATTAACAAAAAAGGTAACAACCATAGTTGTTTCAATCTTATTGAGTAAAAATGTGCATGTATTGAACTGAACTAATAAGTATGTGGAAAGGTTACATGCATTTTGACTATCATTCACAGGGGTCAAAACGGTTATCTCGACCCTGTATATTAAAGATCCAATCTTATAATTTACCATGCACTTTCAATGATTCATATAAATAGTATACATATAGTCTGCTTTTCATCATATTCTTCATATTCTTGATTCTTAAAGCATCTGAAGTATAAAGCATGATTAGAAGTGAAGATGATTCATCATATGGTTTATGTAATATTTCTAACATTTCAGATGCTATGGTAACATCACTTGATAATGAGGTTTTTACATTTCACGTTCTTAATGAGTTAAAAGAAAGTTATTCTCCCTTTGCTTTAGAGATAAATAGTCACATGAATTTGTTTAAAAAAATTATAACTCAATTTAACCCCCTCCTGACAGCCCCCATATTTGAAGATTTTGGTGAAACCTGGCAAAATACATTAATAATTAGGTTCCAGAAGCCCCCAGAAGCTATATGATGGCCCCCAGTGGCCCAAAGAATCTATACAGGGGCCCCAAGTGGCCCCAAGAAGGTATATGATGGCCCCCAGAAGCTATACAAGGGCCCACAGAAACTATACTGTGGTCTCCAGAAGCTATATGGTGACCCCCAGTGGCCATCAGAAGCTATATGATGGCCCCCAGAAGCTAATTAGTGGCCCCCAGGAGCTATACGGTGGCACCCAGAAGCTATACAGGGAACCCCATTGGCCCCAAGAAGCTATACGATGGCCCCAAGAAGCTATACAGCAGCCCCCAGAAGCTACAAGATGGCCCCCAGAATCTATATGATGGCCCCCAATGGCTCCCAGAAGCTATACAGGGCCCCCAGTAGCCCCTAGAAGCTATATGGTGGCCTCCAAAGCTATATGGTGGCCCATTGGGGGACACTGTATAGCTTCTGGAGGCCATCGTATAGCTTATGGGGGCTACCGTATAGTTTCTGCGGGCCCTTGCATAGCTTCTGGGGGCCATCCTATAGCTTCTGGGAGCCACTGGGGGCCCCTGTATAGCTTCTGGGGGCTACAGTATAGTTTCTGCAGGCCCTTGCATAGCTTCTGGGGGCCATCGTATAGCTTCTGGGAGCCACTGGGGGCCCCTGTATAGCTTCTGGGGGCTACAGTTCAGTTTCTGCAGGCCCTTGCATAGCTTCTGGGGGCCATCGTATAGCTTCTGGGAGCTACTGTGCGCCCCTTTATAGCTTCTGGGGGCCACTATATAGCTTTCGGGGCCACTGGGGGCCACCGTATAGCTTCTAGGGGCTACTGGGGGGCCCTTTATAGCTTCTGGGAGCCATTGTGTAGCTTCTGGGAACCACCATATAGCTCCTGAGGGTCACTATTTAGCTTCTTAGGGCCATCATATAGCCTATGAGGGCCACTGGGGGCCACCGTATAGCTTCTAGGGGCTACTGGGGGCCCTTCACATCTTCTGGGAGCCATTGGGGGCCATCATATAGATTCTGGGGGCCATCATGTAGCTTTTTGGGGCTCCTGTATAGCTTCTGGGGGCCTTCGTTTAGCTTCTTGGGGCCACTGGGGTCCCCTGTATAGCTTCTGGGAGCCACCATATAGCTCCTGGGGGCCACTAATTAGCTTCTGGAGGCCATCATATAGCTTCCGAGGGCCACTGGGGGCCACCATATAGCTTCTGGAGACCATAGTATAGTTTCTGGGGGCCCTTGTATAGCTTCTGGGGGCCATCGTATAGCTTCTGGGGGCCCCCGTATAGCTTCTGGGGGCGACCGTATAGCTTTTTGGGGCCACTGGGGGCCCCTGTATAGCTTCTGGGTGCCACCATATAGCTCCTGGGGGCCAACATATAGCTTCTGGGGAGCACAGTATAGCTTTTGGGGAGCACAGTATAGCTTCTGGGGGCTACTTGGGGCCCTTGTATAGATTCTTGGGGCCACTGGGGGCCATCATATAACTTCTGGGGGCTTCTGGAACCTAATAATTAATGTATTTTGCCAGGTTTCACCAAAATCTTCAAATATGGGGCTGTCAGGGGGGGGGGGTTAAATTAATTAAGTTATAATTTTTCTAAACAAATTCATGCAACTATTTATCTCTAAAGCAAAGGGAGAATAACTTCCTTTTAACTCATTAAGAACGTGAAATGTAAAAACCTCATTATCAAGTGATGTTACCATAGCATCTGAAATGTTAGAAATATTACATAAATATTCTCTAAACAAATTCATGCAACTATTTATCTCTAAAGCAAAGGGAGAATAACTTCCTTTTAACTCATTAAGAACGTGAAATGTAAAAACCTCATTATCAAGTGATGTTACCATAGCATCTGAAATGTTAGAAATATTACATAAACCATATGATGAATCATCTTTACTTCTAATCATGCTATATACTTCAGATGCTTTAAGAATCAAGAATATGAAGAATATGATGAAAAGCAGACTATATGTATACTATTTATATGAATCATTGAAAGTGCATGGTAAATTATAAGATTGGATCTTTAATATACAGGGTCGAGATAACCGTTTTGACCCCTGTGAATGATAGTCAAAATGCATGTAATCTTTCCACATACTTATTAGTTCAGTTCAATACATGCACATTTTTTTTACTCAATAAGATTGAAACAACTATGGTTGTTACTTTTTTTTTGTTAATTTAATATTCTTTTTATAATTGTCAAACAATGACGTTCACAGTAGCTGCCTCCAAAGCTGGATAATTTTGTTAATTCTGATCCAATTTTGAAGATTTGTTGTCTCTTTAATGTTGCTTATATCTTCCACTCATCAAATAAGGGACAAAAATATGCACACATTCTGTCATACGGCCTCAGTTCTAATAGATATATTGCTATACTAGGATATTCTGAACCAAAAATGGATTGATGACGTCACAATTAATGCAAATTAGCTAATTTGCATAACTGAATATTGTTACCATATAGTAAATTTAATAAGGTTTAATCAGATACCAATATTATCTCTATAGACCAAATAATGGCGAAGCTATATTGATTCAAGACTCCAAGGTAAGACGTATGTATATTATTGTCAAATAATGACATTCACGATAGCTGCCTCGAAAGTTACATAACTTTCGTAATACTGATTCAATTTTGAATCTGTTTTCACTTTTATGTTGCTTATAGCTTCTACTAATAGAATAAAGGACAAAACCTTTCAGAAATTTTGCCATACGGCCTCAGTTCTAATAGATACGTTGCTATAGTTGGAAATTCTGAACCAAAAATAGATTGATGACGTCATTATTTATGCAAATTAGATAATTTGCATAATTGAATATCATAAATTTATTGGAAATTTAACGAGGTTTAATTTGGTACCAATATCATTTCTATAGACCAAATAATGACAGAGCTACAAATGATTTAAGATACCAAGGTAAGATGTCTAAAGATGCGTAACCATGGTAACTGAATGCCGCCATAAAAGTACTATGGGACATTAGCTGGCAATGTTAACAAATGAATTCATTAAATAGACACCCTAGGGATTACAAAAATGTATGTAACTTATTCACACCTTATGGGTGCATGGGAACCCCTTGTTCCTACTATACTATTTGTTTAATGAAATTCAAATCAAGAGTTGAGCTAAGTTTAAGGGCAAATCTTAACATATCTTCAAGGAACATCTTTTTAAAACGAGCTATTTTAGGGAGAAATCCTCATTCCTAATTTATTGAGATATCCTTTAGAGTTCACACAAAGATATGTCAAATTCTGAAACATGCAATTCCCACACTTTAATACTGATGATTTTTCTAAAAGATTCCAAATCAAAAGATTTTTATTTGGTATTTCATTTTATAATAGAGGAGCGTTCATAATGACCTTATAAACTAAAACACCAAATTGAAATAACACGATATCTGTTATACTCCGTAGCCTTTAAAATTAAACCTTTTTCAAATTGCAATGCCTTCAACAAAGAACACCTAGTGCTGAAAATACGCATTTGTTCTTTCTTTGAATTGAAAATCAAAAAATCATAAT